TTTATCAGAGGTCCTGACCCTGAGGTTGAGAATCACTGCTTCAATCTACTGCACATAAATTATGTTAACAAACTTCACAGTACTGTGTCAGTAAACTTTGGGTTGGGAATTCACCACTATGATTCTAATGTGTTTAATTTATATGTATTTATTAGTGTTTTGCCCCTTGAGGACGCTACGTTAATCTTTGCTCAGTTGTAATGATCTGAGTTTAGTGCCAGCTCACCTGTGTTTCATAAAGAGGCCTGCAGGGGGGAGTAAAGGGGGATTTCAGGTGAACTGTTAAAATTAGGATAATTGTGTTCGTCAGTGTCTGCAAAAAAAAACAAACAACCAAAAAAAAAAAAAAAAGGTAATGGTAAACTGAGATTTATTATATAAAGACAGCTGTTAATATAACAAACACTTTTATTTGTAGTTTAGCTTTTTAAGGGTTGCAGAAAAAGAGTAAATTTAATCACACACAAATACAACAGAGACCAAATATGACACAGTTAAGCCCAAGATTTATTTTCATTGTAGTCCTTGATGTGGAGGTTAAAAAAAAGCATTACTAACAAGCCAACACATCAAACATCTATATCAGCATCTGCATTAACTAAATAGTTTTTAGAGTTAAATTACAATTTGTCATTGTTTATGAAGACTAAGCATATAATTTTGTTATAGATTGATACTATTTTACAAAAACAGGACACTCTGATGGAGATGTGTTTGCCTTTTTGAGGGCATATCTAGAAAATTGCACTATTTTTGATAACATGAGTTCTTCTTTGAACATGGGCGTATTTCCAGGTGGCAATCAAGCCCCTCCATCCCATGGGCCCAGTGCAACCACACAGCCTGCACCATCTACATTTACGCCCCTTGTCCCAACCAACCCTGCTCTCCCCTATTTCTCAACTGGCATGTAGGCAACTACCCCCCAGGTTTTTTTGCATGTCGATTAGTTTATCTTAATTTGATTATATACACATTTATTTAGCCATAAAAACCCCATGAGCAGGGCACCCATTAGCTCACCTGGTGGAGCGGGTGCCCCATGTGCAGGGGCCCTGTCCTTGCCGCGGCAGCTGCTGGCTCGATTCCAGTATGTCGCCCTTTGCTGCATGTCATCCCCCCTCTCCTTCCCAATTTCACACTAACAACTGTCCTGTCAATTAAAGACAAAAAAGTCCTAAAAATATCTTTTAAAAAACATGAGCACCATATACTCTGAAAGTTTAAAAGGTTTTAAAACCGGAGTTTGACATGGGACCACTTGGTTACATAATAATGCAGTTGATATTGTGCTGTTGAAATAAGCACATTAATCAAAAACCAACCAACACACAGTGAACCTAAGACTTTTGGGGCCCCTTGAGGTCTAGGGGCCCACTTGGTAACCCAGACTTGCTTTCTTAAAAACTTCTTCAAAATGTTGTTTGCTTGTATACCATATAGAGCATATTTACAGTGTTGAAAAGGTTCTGTTTGAAATGTAATAACTTACAGATTACTAGTGTCCCTGTTAAGAATGTATTGTAACTATTTTAATTACTTTATCAAACTAATAAACTAACTAATACTTTTTGATTACTTTTCTAACTATAATAATAATAATGATAACCTTTATTTATATGGTACCTTTCAAAACACAGTTACAAAGTGCGGCACAATAAAACTAAACACATTTAAAACACAAGGAGAATAAAACAAATAAACTTGTCATAAAATGTCACCTAAATGAAAGATATAATTTGGCTTCTGTCTGAATTATTCCGCAGAGACTGCTAACTGCTTCCTTAAAGAACAGCACAAATCATCAGTTGATAAAGGTGATGTAGCTGGGGCAGTCTTTCTGGACCTAAAAAAGCTTTTGATACTTTACATCATAATATCCTTGTTCATAAACTCTCCAAATTTAATTTCTCCAATAAAATGTTATAGAGGTTTCAATCTTATCTGTCTGACAGAGAACAGTGTGTTATCATTAATAATGAGAAATCTTCTTTTTTACAGACTAGAACAGGAGTACCTCAGGGTTCTGTTCTTGGTCCGCTTCTTTTTCTCTCATACGTTAAGGGCTTCCCACAGTCATGGGTTGGAGTAGGATTTTAGATATATGCAGACGATACAATCATACATGTATCTGCAAAAACTGCTCTGGCAGCTTCCAAACAACTGTCATGTCACTTACAGTCCATAGCAGCATGGTTTTAAGAGTCAGATCTCTCACTTAATGTTAACAAAATGGTGTCCGTTTGCTTCTCTGCCAGGGCTCATTCATGAACAGAAGCTGATATGTTAAATTTAAACATTAATGGGCAGCATATCGAACAGGTCTCAAAGATAAGATACCTCATATTAGATTCACAGCTAAAATTCAAGCAGCATGTTAAGATGGCGAGCAGGGTTGCAAAAGCAAACTTACATACATTTGCAAACAGTTTCATGCATGCTATGATTTTTTTTCTGATGTAACCTCTTGGTCACAAGTATAATATCTACAAAAATTAAGCCTCTTATGATGATATATAGGCTAATCGAGCAATTAAGATTTTGGACAGGAAACCAATAAGAAGACATCATTGCCATGTTCTTCAGAAACTAAATATACTAAGATTTTGATAATTTCATTAATTTTAATATTTTCAAACACATCCATAAATGCCTCCATAATCAGGCTCCCCAGGTGCTCAGTGACCTGGTGGTTCCACTTAGAGCTTCTGGCTCAGTGACACATGGAGCAGCCAACAGGAATTGGTTCCCCTGTGTAAATCCTTATTTGGACAAACACCTTTTTCTGTCTGTGGAATTAACAAGTGGAATTCTTTACCCACAGAACTTAAATTGGATCCTGATTTCAATCACTTTAAAGTCAAACTGTAACAGTTTTTGAAGTGGACTCTGTTATGCAGTCATGAATGATTTGGTGCTTCCTGTTCTATAGTGCTAATTATGTATTGCAGTTTGTGTCCTGTATTGTTCCGTCTGTACTTTGCACTGCCACTTGTGTTTTTGTTGCTTAGTCTTTTGTATTTTAAGGCCCAGCTAGGGACGGGCATTGCAAATTAGCTTAGGCTATAAATGCTGTGGTGTGTGGCATTTATGTATGCTACATACTTGTTCCTATACAAATAGGGTTCTTTATAAGACATGACAAGGGAGTTTTTAAATGATAAATGTATATTGTATTGTTCACTTGCAATGCCATATATGTCCTATTGTGCTGAAATTTGGGGAAATGCTTACAAAACAAATATAAAGCCTATAATCAAACTTCAGAAAACAGCCCTCAGAATAATATATAAAGCAAGTCATTGGGAATCTATTTATCAATTGTTTATAGCATCTTACATCTTAAAATTTCCAGACATTATGTATTTAAAAACATTGGAAATACTTTTTTGTGTTGTCAACAGAAACCTTCCTGTCTGTATTCAAAATGTCTTTAGATTAAGAGAAGGTAATTATAATTCAAGAGGGATGAAACATGAAAAGTGAGAACCAATGTAAAATATTCTTAAAAAGCCTTAAAATGTAAAATTATTATGTATTATGGGGCGTCGGTGGCTTAGTGGTAGAGCAGGCGCCCCATGTACAAGGCTGCTGCCACAGTGGCCCGGGCTTGAATCCAGCTCATGGCCCTTTGCTGCATATCATCCCCTCTCTCTCCCCCTTTCATACTTACCTGTCCTGTGTATTAAAGGCAAAAATGTCCCCCCCCCCCCAAAAAAAAAAAATTATTATGTAAAATGGGGAAATTAAAAAAAAAAAAGTTGAGGATTATAATTTAGACTATAATGTATTGAATTACTTTCCTTTCTTTGGTAATGTTGATACTCTGGTGTAACCTTTGGTTAATATAGGAGAGGCAAAAATAATCCCGGGGCTTCAGTGTTCCGTTTTCGGTTATTAACTGTGAGAAAAATTGTGTGAAATAATCTTTGTTTTTCCAGATGTATGTAACCGAAATAAAAATTATTAATTCATTCATTCATTCATTAAGCATTAAATAAATACATTCATATTAATAATATATCCATTACTAAATAACATAGTAACTTAAGCAATAAAAATAACCCAAAAATATGATGTGTGCAGTAAGTATGGTTACATAATCACCAACATTCAAATATGTAGCTGTGATTTAAATACATATTTTTGTCAGTAACTGATTACAATTACATTCATTTTGTAACTTGTACATGCAACTAGTTACATGTAATTAGTTACTTGCAGACATTGCACTGCATATTTACTACACAAATATATCCTCCCGAGACCCTCTGTCCTCATATGAGGACGTCACATTTTGGGTTTACTTGACCTTATACTTAATTGTATTTAAGTCAGACTTGTTGTCCTCGTTTGTAGACACTTTTTTGTGTTATCTAGTGGTAACAAGAGCAAAATACACAAATCCACGTAAAAACAAGATGGCAGCCAAGTCAGTCTGCAGCCATCCTGACAAAAAAGTGGACAAGGCACAAAACCTGATCAGATTTTATGGTTTAAACTTGTTTATTTATGAATAATAGTGTTTCTAGTTTCATATGGCCACAATTTCAAAATGGATCAATTTTAGCAACAGTAACAAGCTAAGACACTGTTAATTAGGAATTACTCATTTGAGGACATTGGGACTTTATTGTTGCCTTGTTTGAGGACATTGGGACTTAATTATCATTGAAAATGTTAAGTTTTAGTAAACTTATCAGGTCCTACTGATCCCAAATTGCTAGGAGAAATTAAAAATGCATAACCAACAAAAGTCAGGAGGATATGTTATTAAGGATATTTAATCTTGTTTTAAGAGGCTCTGTAGGTTGTGAGCACCACAATAAATAAGTGGCATATAAATTCTCGCAATGTAGTAATAAAAAAAGAACAAAAAATTTAATTAAATGGGTTTAAATTAAAGTTGTGCAGTGTCATAACTGCCAAATAGCAGTGACAGTGTTGAGTGTGGACCTAACCCTCCAGCCCTTTGTTGTTGTTCTCACGCTAATATGCGAGATCCGTAGACCCGACTCAACTGCGCGGTCACATTCCGCCCCGACTTCCCCTCTGCCAGCGGCCTGGTGGTTTGAGATGAGTAGAAGATGTCGGTGTCGGGGCTGAAGGCCGAATTGAAGTTTCTGGTGTCAATTTTTGACCCAAACCACGAACGATTCAGAATAATAGACTGGAAACCCGATGAACTCAGCTGTCAATTCAACGTAACAGGAGAGAAGCTGCTGATCATTCACTGCAACATCACGGTGAGTCCAGGCAGGCCAGCTCTGCGCACAAGCTAACCCCAGCCACTGACTATCGACTGAAACCAAATCATTCCGCGGAAGGTTCCGTGTTTACAAATTAACTGCGATTAAAGTGCTCGCTTTTATTTTCACGGTGTGTGTAAAGCCTTCATTATGTAAGTTACCCCGCTGATTGAAGAAAACAAGGCGGCAGCGGCGTTAAAATCACTTTGAAAAGTGTACAAGAAAACGTCGTTTAGTTACGACGCTGCGGTAGCTTCTTGCTAGCCTGTTAACTGAAAGTAACGTTGACGCTAGCTTGTCTTGTTAGCCAAAATAACTGCGTTACAGTTCGCACTTCAACGGCTGCTAACTTTGTAACTACTGAACCGTGTCTAGTTTAATTTTAACGTTATTTAGCGTATTCACAGGGGGACTTTTAAAACACTACAGCTGCCTTTTTAAAATTATATTTAAAAAGAAGACATTTATCTGAACAGGCTTACCGCTGAATGTCCAGTTCATGGCTTTAACGTTAAATAGAGGCGGTTTAATGGAATGTTGTTCCACTGTGTTTTTCTGCCTTTTCAGTAAATAGACCGATCCCTGTGGCGAACTTGTGTTAAAGCTGTGACGTTAACCGCTCCTCTGTCAGGACACCAAAATATGTACAAAGCGATATAATGTAGATATGAAGGAGTCTGCACTGTATTATATTATTGCGTAACCAACTGATAATGTGAGCTTAGCTGTAAATATATTTTTAAACGTAGATATCGTCAAATGGGCCTGGAATTTTTTATACATTTTCACACCAACTCCTTTAAGAGGTGTATATACATTATTAGAAATGTGAATAATCTTCAAACTTGTGCAAAACACATGAAGTCAACCATCAGAAAGTGTAGGTGATGTCACAACTGAGGCTCACTGTTGTATGGTGCAGGTGGTGCAGATCACTAACACACCATCCAGACCACATCCTCCTCTCTAAGCACCCACACACACACACACACACACACACACAATCGTAGTGCAGGATTTTGGTGGACAGGGACATGGCTTTCTGAAATGTTGTGATTGCCCTGTCATGTTCAGACTCAAGTTGTGTCAGTCGCCTGCATCATCTGCAGTCTGCTCAATCTCAAAGACGACATTCAGCATCACAATCTGGATCTAGAGAATGAGAAGAGAGTAAGTCAGTCCTGTGCTGTGGGTAGTCCACGTCCTGCACATTTCCCACGTCTGATCAGCTGGATCATGTTTGGTCACCAGCTCATGAGTGCCTGAACACACCTGATATAGCAAATCAGTGATAAGAAGAGCAGGTCCAGATGGAAAATGTGCAGTGTTTTTCATACTCAGGATGAGGAATGGGAGCCACTGCCTTAGTTATCTGTGTTAATGACATAATCCAGTGTGAGTCTTCTTTGAATTTGGCTTTAAGATGGCTAGTGCAAGATCCAAAAAAAGGTATGAATATAGCTGGAATGTTAAATAGCATTCACATAAACATACAAATCATATGCTTACAATTTTTCTGAAAACTCTTGATATATCTGACCTGGTGCTTGATAACACAGAAGTGTCTGAAAACCAAACAGACACTGATGCCTCATGTCAGCCACATTCGTCATTCAAAGTAATGAAATTAAATTTAATGGTTATATAGCTATATTGTCAATACACAGAGCTTTAAACCCTTGCACGACCAACACCAAAATTATAAAACCGCCTTGAGTTATCCGATGATGTTTGTTTGCAAGTTGTGAACATGGGAGTCTTTCCCATCTCTAGCATCCATCTCATATATAATATGATGCTGCACTATACAATCCTAGAGTCATACACTAACCCATCTATAGCTGTATACCTAAATATCACCATTGCTGTATAAATATCTGGGTATTTTTACTTTCTGGAAATTGGACATGGGATCCTTACCACTGAAAATTATTACCTATACATTACATACTGTACTTACCACACAGCTTGAGCTTACTTACTAGACTACACAACAGTCCAACTATATTTATTTTTCCCCCCACTATACCATAATCTCCTGGAATGAAGGATTAGCCCTCTATAATTCATTCTCTTGCATCTTCAGTCATGTAAACTGAAGGTCACACATGATTTAATAGCTGTATTAAAGTCTAATTAAAGGTTCAGGGCAGTACACAGCCACTTGTCATCTGGTGCTGGAAATCCTCTTGCTCTACAGCTGCTGGCAGTAGACAAATCATTTTGTTCAGTGGGTGTCTGTGTGGGCAAAGACATTCAGTCTGAAATCATTTATAGCTTTGGAATAAACTTTTATGTAGATTAGATATCCTTGGGCAACATTTTGGTTACATAAAAGCAGTGGTGTTCCCTGTTAAGTGCTAATAGACAATCTGTGGGCAATAAAGGCATTTACATACACATGACTGGCTAAACGTCAATGTCCCACTGTTGACTCTGTTGCAGGAATCCTATCCCTCAACACCCCCAATATGGTTTGTTGACTCTGATGATCCGAGTCTGGCTGAAGTGTTGGAGCGCTTAGAGGATGTGAGAAAAGGCAGCACGTTGGTAAGTTGGCTGATGTGGATGCCATTATTCCACCTTACTGCTCTGTACAAAAGGTACGACTACATCATGGCGGACAGAGTTGTCTCACCTTTAAGCCAGCAGCAGAGGGGATAGTAATGGCACCAAATTGATGCCTGTTGAAAAGGGACAGCTGGCAGAAGAGGACCATGGAAGAAATGGGTGTGATGGTTTGATGACGGGACGTGACCCCAGTAGATTTAAAAAGCAGCTAGAAGCAGTTAGCAGCTAACTCATAGAAGAAGAACAAAATGCCCGCAAATTGGAGAGACAGTGAAGTTTAGGAGGTCCTTATCCTCCCCAGCAGAAGGAGAGATCAACTGACATATAACAAGGACAGTAAATTATTGCTAATGCCATGTAATGTAATTTCTGTCGTTTAGCAAGTGCTGCCGATGCACATGTTGTATGTCACTAGAGGCTGACACTGTTGACACTAGAGGCAGCAAAGGGTGGAGCTGAACCCAGGCCGCTGCGGCAACAGCCTTGTACATGGGGCGCCTGCTCTACCACTAAGCCACTGATGCCCCTTTGTGGAGAATTTTATACAAATATGCCTCATAAGAGTGTGATAAGTGGCTCTTCACTGAAAAGAGAGAAATTAATCACATCATTCATTTATGATGAATAAAAATGTGAAAATTACAGAAGCATTTCACTGCTGAAAAGATGGCCTTTTTTAATAAAACTAGGACGTCTATGCAGAAGAAAGATGCAAATATTTTGGAAATTTGTGCCACATGACCAAAGAAAACTGACTGAACAAGACCTACAGACACTCCCGCTGGTGGTTGACATAATGCCATCTCATCTGTTTGAAACAATGGCGGCCGACTGGCAACAAACGATTTTGTAATGATTTTGTTTAACAGTAAGCTAAATAATTTTTCTTAAACATTTTAGGTGGGAAAAAAGCAACTCAGTAACAGAATCATCGTTTTATTTTTTTGTTTGTTTGTTTGTTGGTTTTTTTCCAGACTCATTTTTGCTGTCCAGAAAACAGTGGGGGGGGGGGGGGGGGGGGGGGTCGCGCTATCTAGGCACTGGTTAGATAAAGGGAAGTTTACCACAGTTCATTTACACATACTACCCATATTTTGATATAAAGTTGGTTGAAATTTGGTGAAGTATCCCTTTAATTAGTTGCTTTGAGATTGAAAATGAAAATGAAATAATGTGTTTGAAAAACTACTTGAAAGCCCTTGAATTTCATTTTGTAATGTCTGCATGAACCCGGTGTTTAATGGCAGTTTTGTTTTCGTTATTGATGTCTTATCTTGCTGATTTCACCTGCAGCTCCTTCAGCAGTTAAAGCGCCTCATTTGTGATCTCTGTCGGCTTTACAACCTGCCACAACATCCAGATGTAGAAATGCTCGACCAGCCTCTACCCGCTGGCCCAATTACCCAAGAGCGAAAGGTACTCACCTAAAGCAAGAGAAGAATTCAATATCTTTTTATTGCATTTTTAAAAGGTACTTTTTGTCAACTCACAATGTTTCACCACACTGCAGAATGGGCCATCAGATGAGGTGACATCTGAAGAGGAAGAGGAGGAGGAAATGGGAGAGGTATTTAATTGTATTCCTGGTGGTTCAGCAAATTTAGATTCTTCATAACCTAATGGTCCAATTTGTTTTGCATCCTGTCCCTAAACATATTTGATTCACTGACAGCAGGACATTGACCTGGACCAAGACCTGGACCATTACGACATGAAAGAAGAGGAGCCAGTTGATGGAAAAAAGTCAGAAGATGACGGGATAGAAAAAGAAAATCTGGCCATCTTGGAGAAGATTCGGAAAAATCAGAGACAGGATCACTTGAATGTAAGTGCCTGATCCATTCAGTGGGGTTGTAATGAAGCTGAATCCAGTATCCTTGTTCCTTTGGATGTAGATCATTACTTAGCAAAACGAAATGACAAAACTCACCCCCCCCCCCAAGAAAGTCGTGGATAGCCCATATATTTGTCCAGACATCCAACCCTTAATTAGGGGGTATATTAAGTAATACCTAACTGAAACTCACAAAGTCAGTTTAGATTTGTGATCACCTTTTGGTTGCTGAGAAGACTTTAACGCTGTACTTGCAAGTGGCATCCCAAATAATGTTAACAACCTTTCACTTTCTGTTATCCTGGTAATTAGATGAGCAGCATTAGATATTAAAGTTGATCGAGTTGATCAAATTCCTGCTCCATGAAACAGATGTTTTCTGCATTGCTCTTTATGAATAAAAAAGAATAAGGAGAGATAAAAGAATCGATTTGGCAAAATGGAACCCAAATCTTCTCCTGGATAGTTTCCCAGTACTATAGTATTATACTACATCCACTGGACATAAATTCATCTTTCTGTTCCTTGTGTCAGTTTCACCATGTTCACATCAACAGCAGCACAGTGTCCAAAACGCAGACTCATTGTTCCTTTCAGTGCTGACACAGTGTGGCTGCTGCCGCAGAGGGCTCCAGCTGAATAAAATGATATAGGCTGTCCAGCAAAAAGTTTAGTTGGCTCTAAACTTTCAGAACAGCGCAGCCCAGCATCATTAGACAAGGCAGTGGATGAAAGATGGCTGCTGGAATCAGGAGCAAAACACCAGACTGTTGTCGAAATGTCAGTGGACTGAAACATACAGGACTCTCATGTCATGATCTCTAATTGCCCTGATGTAGCCCAACATCATTTTACAGTGCCCTGCATCTTCTTATTTATCCCACTGTCCTACCATCTGTGTGATCCACTTCTGTGATTTTACATTGCAGGGCGCAGTGTCTGGCTCTGTGCAAGCCTCAGACCGCCTAATGAAGGAACTCAGGGAGATCTACAGATCACAGAGTTACAAGACAGGTGACTGCAGTGACACATTTCCCCACAGAGGTGGCTTTTATTGTTTTAATGTCCTGTCAGCAGATTGAAGTGAAGCTGTGTTTGTGTCACAGGTATTTATTCATGCGAACTAGTCAGTGACAGCCTTTATGAATGGCACGTCAAGTTAAGGATGTAAGTGCTCACATTCAGTTGCCTTTAACATTTTCTAGTATTGTGTTACGTAGTGTTTTCTGTTAGATTTGACTTGTTGTTCTTTATTACAGGGTAGACCCAGATAGTCCATTACATAGTGACTTGCAGGTCTTAAAAGAAAAGGAAGGAGTGGACTACATTCTGCTCAATTTCTCATATAAAGTGAGTCCCGTAATAATATTTGACAGTTGTTTTGTTCGGGGAGAGATTTTTCTCGAGACTCAAGATATGTTTTTTTCTTCTTCTTCACATGACAGGATAATTTTCCTTTTGACCCACCTTTTGTACGGGTTGTCTCACCTGTGCTCTCCGGAGGGTGAGTGTGTCCCCATGTATAGTTTGTATATGAAGAAAGTATTCACTCATTGGGACTTGATCCACACTTGTTATGCACACAATTTTGAGATGGTTTTTAGACCAGTGGTTCCCAACTGGTTCAGCCACAGGTTCCAAGTTTCTCCCTAGTCTTTAGTTTGAGGTCCAGACAGTTAAATATATTCAGTGTCATACTTGTGTTGGGCAGTGTCGTCGAGCTAGTTCGTTGTCTCTGTCAAGTAGCTGTCCGTTAGTCACTCATCACTCAGTCTACAGGAGCAAACGGCACTTTAAAATAAAAGGTCTGTGCCTGAAATTCACTGTACTTCAAATTGAAGTGTTTTTTACAAACTTGACACATTCACGAGTCACTTGTGATCCATTCAGAATGGACCTGCAACCCACCAGTTTGGAGCCACTGTTTTAAACTTTGTTGGGAGAAATTTACTCACAATATTTCTTCCATCATGGATGAAATAACTTAATTTAGAAATACTAACGCCAAAGGTTTCACATCAGATGTTGTGCTGGCAGCTGTTGCGAATGTGTTGACACTACGCTTTGCTTGCTTACAACCTGATGTCAGAGCCTGTCAGATGCAAATGATCATCTCTGATTCTTAAAGTAAATAAAAGCATCGTGATACATTAGTGCAGGTGGCTATCAAATGAGAACAAGACGTTTTGGGAATTCATTCAATGCCTTGACTCTGTGATCAAATCCATAGTGTGTCTCATATTACACAGATCCTTTAAGGGTTCTGATTATTAATGAAAGGCATAAACAAATCAGCCTGGAAGATACTTTTTGTGTATCATAGTACATCCAAAAATTGTATGCACAACAGTTTCTAGATTCAGATTTCCTTTCTTTGAAAATCTCTCCTGCAAGGCAAATCAACATATTTTGAAATCAGTTTGATGCACAATAAATTTGTGAACACTTTTTTCATCAAATGTACAAGCTTGCTCTAATACATATATTATTTAACACTAAAACATACTTATGCTGATTTTTTTTATTTTTGTTTTCAGTTATGTTCTAGGAGGAGGGGCCTTGTGCATGGAGCTTCTCACAAAACAGGTTTGTAAATGAGTTTGATACATTGTTAGACACAGTGTTTGTCAACTTGAACAGCAGCAGCATTAATGGTTTTGTGTGTTTCCAGGGCTGGAGCAGTGCCTATTCCATAGAATCTGTCATTATGCAGATAAATGCAACTCTGGTTAAAGGAAAAGCCAGGGTGCAGTTTGGAGCCAATAAGGTAAGCGTTGTCATGAGTCTTGTCTCAGTGTGCTTAAAATGAACAAGGTGGTATTACATGTTGTTCGACCACTGGGGAATCCACGGTGAGGAAATTTCCCACCGGTTAACAACACCGGCATCATCGATTGCACTTACATTTTATAAGAAGTTTTTTTTGTTATTTTCGGTTGTGACTTGTGGCTCCTTCCGCCTCTTCATCTCTCTCTTTTTCCACGGGGTAAGCTCCCCGCCCGGGGAAGACCTCTTCTTTTATCATCCTTATGGTCTCCTCAACATACAGGTCAAAGTCACCCCGGTTGGTAGCATGGGTCCGTGAATATTCCCTTGTATATAGGGTCCCGGCTTGCTTGTGTTAGACCTTGCTGCAGTCACGCTATCATTTTTTTCCCCCCGGTGAAGGTTTTTTTTTTTTTTTTTTTAGTTTTTCCTTGTCCGCTGCGAGGATCCTAAGGACAGAGGGATGTTGTATGCTGTAAAGCCCTCTGAGGCAAAAAGTGATATTGGGCTTTATAAATAAAATTGATTGATTGGTGATTGATCATCTACACTGACAGCAGTCAGCTCTGTGTGGCAGCTCTGCTGCTGCTGTACAGAGCAGACACTTTCAGTTTAAAATTCTAGCATGCATCATCCAAGTGATAACAGCAAATTAGAGTTTTTTAATTTGATGAATGTTGGCGCTGAAATGCAAAAATAAACTGAACTGGGTTTTATTTCTGAAGGCAAAAGTGTTTATAGCTGTTCCAAATAGCCACAAGGTAAAAGAGCCTGCTGTCAGAGAGAGGCGATGAATCCTATAAATGAAGAAACCCGGACGTGCTTTAGGACAGTTTCTCATCAAAGGCTTTCACGATGTTGCACGCTGTCGTACACATGCTAAGTAGCTGTCTGGGAAAAAAAGTATGCTGGAGTAGGACGAGGTTTCAGGCACTGTTTCAAGATAAAACAAGCAGCACACTTGAAGCATACTGAGGCTTTAATTGTGCAGCAGTTTGATACAGAAATTGAGTGATGGGAAAAGTGTCTCAAGTTAAATCATAGGTCCCATTTGCACCCATAATTTCAAGTGTCAATTGTGTTATATTTCGGAGGGCTAAAGGTTACATATGCGTCTTGCTGTTTTTAGTAGAAAGATGACGAGTAAGAGTTACGGGTAAGAGAGATGTGGATTGACATTCTGTGCATCTTACAGAACATTATTTGTTTTTCAGAACCAGTACAATCTTGCCAGAGCACAACAGTCGTACAAATCCCTCGTGCAGATCCATGAAAAGAACGGTGAGTAAATATTTCCAAATGTTTGGGCTCAGCAGACACAAAGTGGTATGGATCCATTGGCAAAGGGGTTTCTCTTTGTGTTTCTACAGGCTGGTACACACCACCTAAAGAGGATGGATAAGGAGCTACTACCACTATGCACTGGGAACATGTCTTTGGGTCAAAGTATCTTGTTTTCTTTGGAATATTTTCCCCCCTCTGACTTAACTGGGGATATATCATCTTTCTTGCGGAAACCATCTCGTTGGCTCATCTGACAAGTATTCCTTCGCCCCGCTCCGGGAAGAGACTTTATTCTGGTATCACTTTGCTTCTTTCCTCAGTGTTTTAGTGAGGAGGAGGATGTGAGGGGTATCACTAGTCCTGTTTTCTAAATATGCTCATTTGTCTTTAAAAAAAAACCTTTTCTCCCTTTAAATGTGGGGAAATGCTTTTTCTTTAGCTGCTTCGACAAAGTGGGCTTCACAAACAGTCAGTTAACCCTCTTTAAATGGGAATTTTAACAGAAGATTGATACTGAAGCTCTTGATGTGGCACCTCATAGCACCTGTTTTTATTGGCCACTTTCCCCCCTCCCATCACATCTCAATAAACAATCAGTTGAGATGACCTACAAACTCAGTATCTTTTAGCTCTTACTTTTTAAAATGCGCGAAGAATATCGGGCCAAGCAGAATCAAAATGCTGCAGTGTTGTTGAACTAAGATTAACTGTTGTCTGTGAACAAATCCACCCGTGGTTGATAATAACACAGGGCCAGTGGACATGAAATATCTTCAAATCTGTTTGTTGCATATCTTTGGAAGAAGACACCTACATTTATTTTCACCAGAGGATGATAAGACGACTGTTGCAGCATTATTTTTGGAAGTTTTAACAGGTCTAATGTCAAAGCTAAAGAGCGCTTTTTGCCTCAATTCTGTTAACACAGAGGCCCAGCAAGCACTCAGTTTGGCTATTGGTGTTTCTACTGATTATAGCTGTAGAGATTGATGGCTAGTTTGATGCTGAAAATGAAGCCATGTGTGTGCAAAGTTAACAGCATACTGCACCGGAGCCTTGTCTCGGCCACTGTTACAAACAGGGTTCCCACTGCCATGAAATTTGTGGAAACAGTATGAAACTTTTTCCAGAATGTTTTGGAAAAGTTTTGAACATACATTGTTTTGGCTTTTGTTTAAAATATGTTCATAAAAATCCCAAAACACGTCTAGCATTATGTGAAGTACGTTCACCATATTAATAACTTAAAATCTAGTGCTAAGCTGCTCGCCAACGACTTGTCCCCTTTTGGGAGAAAGAAGTACATATGAGAAGACAAACAGGAAAATACCAAAAAGCTGTTATGTAGCCAGTTAAACAAGGCTTTACGCTGAGATTTGAGGCTCAATAGAAATGTGAATATTCGCTGTCAGTGCAGTAAATGTCTAAATGATGCTAGTGACAGTTATTACTGATGGATAGCTAACATTAGCCGGAGTGCCACGCTGCTACAGTACAGTCAGTCAGGACAGCAGCATCAAGCTGTCATCACCAGTTAAATCTCAGCCTATAGATCGAACAGTGTGCCATTAACAGTTTGATTATTGACAAACACTCAGCCTAATGATACCTGCCGATCCAATCCAATATTTATATTTGATTGAAACACCAGGTATCCTGATCAGGACGTGTATACATGTCTAGACATCCTGATAAGCAGGGGTCATTCCTCCACTGTGATGTGGGAAGAAGGAAAAGACATGACGGCAGTCAACCTCAATGTAGTAGGGTATCGTGAACGCTCAGGTTCAGGCAACATCACAAGACAATTATTAAACATGTCCGTAAAACAAACATTAGTTTAACTAGAAATACTTCCATACAAACATGTAAAAATTATGATCCAAAATGCGTCACATTACATCTGCATCTACAGCATCTTTGGTTTTCTGTCCCCCAAATGGTCGAGACCTTGACGTTCCTTCAAGTACCCATATGTGCCAGTCTGGTCTGTTAGCATAAGAGGGTAGTTAGTGGCGGGAATATCTGACTGAGACATGAGCAAGTGCTAGCAGGTGGCTTATCCGCAAATGTGTGGGAAGTGCGTATTTAATTATCTATGGCTTTATCGCAGTGTAGGCTTACCCAATAGAGACATGGAATATTATGGAAAAGTTTTGAAAATTCATTAGTAAAAATATGTGGGAACCCTGTACAGAAGGTAGTTGGACTTTTTTCCAGTCACTCTGTGAAGCTCTGGGCTTTACAGAGGCGATAAATAAAGGGTGTTTGGATGTGATGTTTTCATCATTTTGCCCAGTTTAGCAGATGCCTGTATGTCACCTCCTCCTGACATACATCGAGTGTAGTGGTTTGCCCAGTTTGGAGTTGAAACTGCTTCCCTGTTACGTGACGTCACACATGTAACTGGATTCATCCCCTCCCGTCTTTTTTTTTTTTTTTCTTTTATCAGTCAGCAGTTAAACATCCACCATCTTCAGGGCTTCCTTTGCCACAGCAATGTAACACAAACATTTTGGGTGCCACTTATGGTGTGTAACAAGGATCCTTCAGAGCTGACGTGGAACTCAATGAAACCGTAACCATGCAATATACATCACAGTACATCTTCACTACTGCTGTTCCCCCATACTACAGCGACACACACTGTGTCTATCAATCTGTCGGCTCTTTTGCAGTTTATTTGTTAACACTGTCTGCGAAAGTATGTTTGAATGGCAACTCAGGTAACAAACAATACTTATGAGGGGAATCTGTACATGTACATGTTGAGTTTGGGGTTCTTTTCTTGGGTTAATTAACGCTCTGTACCGCTGACGTTAAGGCTGACTCACCCACTGATCTGATGTCAGACACAGAAAATGTAAAGAGCTTTATAAAAATATGGGCCACGTGTTTCCTTTAATTCGAGTGATGTAAGAGGAAGATGCCATTTTAATAGGATTGCAGTAGCATGATGATCACCTCATGTAACTGCTCATCAACACCCATTGTAGTATTGTATGCTTTCTTTTCCTTCCAAGTACTGAAGTAGAGTTGATTTCTTCTTTAAATATTCCTGATAAAATAATATTTGCACAACAATGTCCCGGGAAAGGTCAATTACAACAAACACACTCTGAGCGAAATAATTTAAAGTCACGATTTTTTCCTCTCAGCACACACATCCTGTTGTTACATGTCCAATAGAGCCGAGGGGGGGAGGAATCATCAGGTCTCGTTATCAGGAAGTGTCCTCACCTGATATTCAGAGATGATTGGAGTTTGACAGTCATGCCGTGGTGAATATAGACTTGCACGCTTCTCTAACTGGACTGTGTGTTGAAAGGATTCATTTATCTCGTCTCTCGATTTAATTTTCTGGCACCGACGAGACACGATCAAGTCTGGCACCGTTGGCTCGCTTTGGTTTTTCTTTTCTTTTTCATTTTCCATTTGAAGAAATTTTGACCATGTACAGTAATTTGTAAACTTGCATCAAGTTTATGAATAAAGAATTTTAAGATTATCGCTGTTTTACTGGTTTCTGTGTGTATTATTTTTCCCTGTTGCTTCATGAACTGCAGATGTATGGAGCTGATAATGATATTTTATTAAATGCGTAAATGACACGGTGGTGCAGTGGTCATTGCTGCCTCACAGGAAGAGGGTTCCTGGTTCGAACCCAGGATGGGGGAGCCCTTCTATACGGAGTTTGCATGTTCTTCCTTTGTCAGCGTGGGTACTCCAGGTGCTCCAGCTTCTTCCCACAGTCCAAAGACATGCAGGTTAATTGGTGACTAAATTGGCCATAGGTGTGAATGTGAGTGTGAATGGTTGTCTGTCTCTATGTGTCAGCCCTGTGATAGTCTAGTGACCTGTCCAGGGTGTACCCCGCCTCTCACCCAATGTCAGCTGGGATAGGCTCCAGTTCCTCCCCCTAACAGTGGTTAGGAACGATGGATGAAATTATGTACTGCTGATACAACTTTCATACTGTCAAAATGAGTCGAGCTCTTCAGTATGGAAGTCCACATTTCTGTAGTTATAAATATTTAAACCCACCAGTGAACCTAAAACTGTATTTTTACTTTATACTTGGATTTACCTGTTGGCAAAATGTAGAGTAGTCTAACTCACGCTAATTACCATATTTTTACATTAAACCCACTTATGCATGGGACCACACATACCAGAAAACTCTTACTAGCCTAGTGTGGCTACACATTTTGACAAATAAAGGCCTGTCTTAGTGAGATGCCTGGTCTGGTTGCCAAGCAGTTCATTTTTTCTATACGTTTTTTTATGTGTTTTAATATTAAACAGGTTGTTGCCTACTTACTTGACCTAACATAAGTTAGCTGCTTCAGTGGCCCACACAGATATAAATGTTAAACCTCTGTCAATATGGAGATGCTACATATTGTTAGCTCACTTAGATTCTCCACAATTCTATCATTAAGTTTTATTGAAACTAATGTATGAGCACCAGAGAAGACAGTAATTCATTGAGATTTACCTGCCTGATAAATGAGGAAAAAAAAGTGGTGACTCCCTACGTCACCTCTGAAGTGGTCATTTAGTCAGACTATGTATCCATACATTGATTTTCCTGTAACATATTCATGTTCCTTCATATTCCATCAAAATAATCAAGAGGGTTTTTCATAGAAATTAATCCAAGTTATGAGTATTGTTTTAACAGGATAAGGTGGTGTTGTGTCAGTATGCCGAAAGTTATGAGTGTCGTAACTCTGAAGTGCTGTCTCTCGGAGCTAGATTAAATGAGTGATTCATAATTGATATGTTAATCGAAACCTAATTTTTATACAAATAATATTCATACTGGTTTAAATAAACATTTTTATTGTATTCTCTCATCTTTGCTGAGAAAAAGTTTGTGTGAAAGGAATTAAAGGCCTGTCCCATATAGACACCCGTTGAGTTCAGTGATTTAAGCAAATAATAGCCAGGATAATAACTGAAGTTTACAGTATACTACTTGTCTTGATAACTTACCTGCAATGCCTTCACAAGAAAAAGATTATATGTCCAAAAATCAGGCTTAAACTTGGTTAAAAATTATCTTTAAAAGGTCTAAAAAAAAAGCCATAGCCATAGCAGGTCTTAGCTTTTCATTGTTGCTGACGTTGTTAAACACTTTACGAACAAATCAGTATTCATCACAGGAACAACTCTGTTCAGAGCAACTCACAATAACTTTGATTTAAAGCGAGTTTTAAGGACACAATAAATAATTCACATTTTGTTGGAGGGCATTTATGGATAGGAGGGTGTAGACCTAAAGTTTGTGGCAGCTGTTTTTTAGTGTGTTTTTTTCTTTCCAGTCTTTCAAACTTAAAAAAAGATCCATGTTTCTTCTAAATCTTCAGCAGTGTGGGACCAGTGTGCAAACTCATCAAATAACAAAACAAGATGCAACAAGAACTGTTTAATATCTATTAGGGTAAGACCAAATAATACAAAAGTAATACACAAAAATGTATTCCTCATTTACTCCACTCATGGAGACACAGCCTCCTCAAACGTTTCATTCACCTAATTAGAGCATGTTTCTATTGAATGTGTTTATCCATGGCAAATATTTACCTCACCTCAAGTAATTATATATTTATATCTAGTTATGATATAGTACATGATAATACATATCAAACAACATACAGTACATGTGGGAACGTGGGGGAGTTGATGGGAGATGGCTTTCCGAAGCTTTGATACATTAAGATGAAATGCAGAGTCTTAGTACCCAATGCACTGCAGTTCCTGCTGCACGATTACTATACAGCTGTAGTTTCCAGAGTCACATTAACTGTGTTGTATGTACATATGGCAAAAAAGAAAAAAAAACAGATCCAAAATTCACCTACGCACAGAGAAAAGTAGCTTGTTTGTTCACCTCTGCAGACTTCACACTTAATTTATAGAACAGATCTGCTAAACTTTGTGCAACAGATGAGCGTGTGGATGGTTACGGTTTACAGGGTTATACTTCATAACTACTGTATGTGCATCTGCTGGTGAGAATGTTATGCAGTTGTACAATTATACTAGTGGTGTCCAACTTGAAAACAGGCTCCTTGTTCATTTCGTAACAGTTTACGTTACGGTCGTTACGTCTATATTTCAGGCCTGCACAACAGGACCCTGCTTAATCTACCATACTAATGTTAGTATTGCTCCACTGTGATCCACTGTGACTTAAGTTTGCACTGACGTCGACAGGTAACCCAGTGTAAAACATTATCTAAAGTTTTTTTTTTTAAATTATAATTAAAAAAAAAATCTCAAATTTCCCACAGCCATGGAAAGACACAAGGAACATGTGCTTCAGACTCATCCACACATCATCCAAAATACACACACGAGAAAACAAAAGGTCAGTACAAAAAACAACTGAAAATTAAAACAACAAACAGCCTACTGAATACCACGTCATCACAATCAGACAAGACGACTCACAGGTTTTGAAATAACGAGCATTCAGACACAAATCTTCACATCTGTTTCAAGTCTAATACTGTATTACTGTAATAACCACCTAAATCTGAATCTTGAAGACGTTTTTCAAAGAAGACTTGAGAGACACTGAATTCAACATGATGCTGTCTCTGACCGAGTGGCCACACGCAATTATCCTCTCTCTCAGTTTCACCTCATACAGAAATAATTGGCTTGAATTTTATATTTTCTTTTATATAAATATCATATTACACCTACTCATAGATTAAACACCAACAGCCACGAAATGACACACTAAGGCCTGAAATCCAGAGCTTCAGAAACAAGTAGTCATTTAAGCATTTACATGGAGGGGTAAAGTGGGAGAATTTGCCAAAGGGGTGAAAACATCCATCACTTCATACAATGCTATGACCACCTACGACAATGATTATTAATATTTACTGTGTGTCCAACCTGCAAGTGTTTTGGTTTTCTTTTAACCTGTACAACGTTTATTTGGAATGTTATATCCAATGAACTGCAATCCTAATCCTGCATGTGCTTCACTTTAATATGTCATAATAATTAATTTCACCGAAATCAACCTGCTGAACAGAAAACCAGTGTGCGATGATGAAACCAAACACCCCGGATGGTTGAATGATGGAAATTAAAAGGAGACAAAAGCCAGACATGTTAACACTTTAAGGGCTTTTACAGGAAGAATTTAAAACCAGCTGTCACACCTTTCCTGAGAATGTAAAAAATAATAATAATAAAAATAAAAAAATAAAAAAATTAAACTGAGAGGTTCACTGATGTAGAGCAACTTCTCATCGGTTAAAATAAACAATCAGGTCACCAAAACATAAATTTTAGAATATTTTCTCTGGGATTTAAAAGTTTTTGGGTTGGGAAAATTACTTTCTTGATAAATTTTGTGCCATCTGATTTCAGTCGTGTGACCAATTACATTTTTATTCATCTTCCCTTAAAATTTCATTTTATTTAGGATTCTGTTATGGAGTTTGGGGTCAGGTTAAACGTTTTCTTTCTCAACAAAAAGTACTAAAGTAAGAAAATTATTTGCCAGTATTAAAAGGATACTAGGCTGCTAAAAATATAACTTATGCTGCATTCACAAGGAATTAGCAGACAGTAGATGACAGACGGAAAACAGCATCTGGACAACACGAAACATCTACGACAATATGTTGCAATGGTGATGCCACCTTTTAACACCTTTTAACCAAATTCAAGACAGATTTTTTAGGTATATTATTTCAGTATTATATTTTGTTAAAGATTTGTAATATTAAAAATGTGAACTTTTACATAGAAATGCTCCGCTCATATTCACAAGAAGAAATAAAAAATGGATAAATGAAAAAAAAAAAAGGTATGTAGTAGTTAAGACCTCACAAAATAAAAATTTAATACTGTTTAATGACTTTTAAGGCCTTGTTTTATTGTTGTAATATTGAATTTAAGACTTTTAAGGACCAGTAGACACCCTGCTAATTTTAACGTCCTGCTGTCATCCACTAAAATAACCGGTTTGCTGTCTACTATCACCCTGATTTCACGTGAACACAGCATTACAGTTTAGTTATACCCTAAACTTGTAAAAAAAAAAAAAAAAAAAGAAAAAGAAAAAAAAGATTGATACGCTATCATGTCTGTACAGCTAATATGAAGCTATGGCTAGCTGCTTGTTAGCTTAGCTTAGCACAAAAAAACTGAAAGCAGGGGGAAACTGCGAGCCTAGGACTGTGTATTATGTGTTTCCAGTTTTTTTTTTTTTCTAAGCTAAGCGAAGCAGCTGCTAGCCATACAGTTAATATGAAGCTACCGTTAGGCACTGGTTAGCTTAGCTTAGCACAGAAAACTGAACGCAGGGGGGGAACTGTCCGACAAGATACTGTGTGTTTATCAGTGAGTTTAGAGGTGCTGTAGAGGTGGGTTTTGTTGGCTAACTGTTTTCCCCTGTTAACATTTTTTTGCTAAGTAAAGCTAACCAACTGGTAGCTATACAGTTAATAGGAAGTTAGCTTAGCACATAAAACTGAAAAGCAGGGGGAAACTAGCTTTGTTACAGAGCCAGGCTAACTGTTTTCCCTTGTTTTCAGTATTTTTGCCAAGCTAAGCTAACCAGCTGCTAGCAGTAGCTTCATATTTACTGTACAGACATTAAAGTAATGGCTCTTCTCATCCAGCTCTCAGCAGAAAGCGAATAAGCATATTTCCCAAACTGAAACAAGCAGCTACAGTGCATCAATGGAGGGGCAATTGTGTTTGGTGACCTTCAAGGCTAATGAAAGTAAACACTCTTAACAATATAGTTACTGCAATACATCAAAAACACATTAAAAGTAATTAAAGATGTTATCAAAGTGTGACCGAGGCAGAGGCAGAGAAGTCGCTGACCACAGATGAACCTACCTGAATAAACTGATGAAGCTCAGGGGACTGGTTTGACCTGTTATGTGTCTCCATTAGAAAGCAACACACACATTGATCGGCTAAAATTGAGCAGCATAAGAGATTAAAAACCTTAAATAACTGGCTGTTGATTTAAATGTGACTTAAATTAATAACTCCCACATGAGTCAGAATTCAACAAGAGTACACTTCCACCAAAAACAGGACTTTTCTCTACGTTGTTCTGGTTGGATTCAGCTTGTACAGTGTTACAGTGAAGGGCACCTAATTCTGAATTGTGTTCTTAATTGATCCCTTTTTATCTCCCCCACTCAGCAGCCTGGCCCCCTCCTCTGCCCTACATTGGGTCGTCGTAGTTGTAGGTGGGAGCTGCTGAGTATTCATTCTGTTGCATGGCTCCCTGCGCAGCTCCCATGGCCGCCTGCTGGGCTGCCTGCTGAACGTGGGGGTTCTTCCAGGCGCCAGTGGCCCACTCCTCTTGGGCCTTACCCAAGCTCCCACCACTGCCACGGTAGAAGTTATGAACCTGCAGAAAAAAGGCACTATTATCATCACTTCACTTTTCCTGTGCCTTTCCTCCACCTTTCACAAGTTTTTAAACATTTGAAGCCTGAGAAAATTGGTGTGATTTCTTATAAAAACGTGGGAAAAATGAGGCACTTGATAAGAAATGTCCCACAAACTGCATAAAATGAATAGATTCAGAATTTTTTTTTTTAACTAGGAAAATAAAGGAAAAAAACTAGGGGAAAATAGGTTTATAATTATTATTATTATTATTATTATTATTATTACATTTTAAAATTATGTTACAGTATTTTTAAATATTTTTAAGCACTACTTCCAGGTCATTGCCTGGTTTGTTAGTTTTTAATTTTTTCCCCCTTTTTAAAAACTAATTTTCATGTTAATTTCTTAAATATTTCTGGGGTTATTTCTTCTTTCATTGCCGATTGCCTTCTTCTCATGTTTTTAAAAGAAATCAAGAAGGGTTAAGGAAAAAAAGACAACAGTATTAAAGTCAAACTAAAATTATTATTATTATTTTTTTCTTCATCTTTCTGCAGTGACAGAACTACATAAGTGCTCCTCAGGTGGCATGAATTTTTCGTATCACTACACCCACACACAGTATCTTTGTGGGCAGGGTGACAGACGTTATCAGCCTTTGCTTGGTACTATCTGTGATTTGAGCACTCTATACTTTACTCAGTGACTGCGTTCATCATGGTCAGGTCATATGGGATGGATGGTAAAGATTCCCATGTTAACAACTTGTAAACGTTCATATCATCAAGACAGTTATGTTGTAGTATTTTGACTGTAGAGTTAATCATGTAAGGATTAAAATATTGTGAACTGACAATATAACATCATATCCACAAAATCTGGGTTTAATTACACTGATCAATGGTCTCTGGCTGATGTCAAGCCTCCATGTTGGTTCAGGTTACAGTTGCTTCCACATTATTAAATGCCAAGTCAGATAAATAAGAGCTTTCTGAGAAATCTGAGTTTGCCAGTCAACTTGAATAGGCGCTGCACCTAAGCTACATGAACATAAAAACAAATGTAATGTGTAATAGTATCATTGTAGTTTACATTTGTCGACTTCACCAAAAGAGAGGTGAAGTTAAGTTTTAGACTTATAAGAGCCTCTTAACCAAACATATGCCCACAATATATTTCTGTAGAAACAGCTAAAACAGTTCAGTGTGTTTATTTTCTGAAAGAAGAATGTGGAAACGTCTGGGTCACCTTTGTGAGGGCGATGAAGGAGAGTACAGCCACCGCAGTAAACATGATGGTGGGAATCAGCATGACCACAGCTGAGCCGATGTTGGTGCTGAAGAAAGTGATGGTAGCCAGCCAACCACTAATGGAAACAAGAAAAGAGTAACATTTCAAAGCTATGGCACTCATGATCTGTGACAATGCAAATTTGTGTCGTCACTGGTTTAAAGCCAAGGGTTTCAAACTGTGCTGCACATCTCCCCAGGGGGGTGCGAGAGAGAGGGAGGGAAGTGAGGTAAAAGAGGCAGGTGCATGTCGGTGTAATTAAGTTACTTTAAATCCTTAACATCGCAATGCCGCAATTTGCATCCAAACTCGCACTCATCCTCAGAGTCAGAGCACAGTCAATCTTAACACTCAGATATGACAGACTTCCCAAGGATAGCGTTATCTCTCCACTGAAAAATGAACATGCAAAAACCTGTTCAACCTGCAGAGACCCGTAAGCTGGCATCCATAAAACACAATGCCAAGAAAACCCTAATATAGCGAGGTGAAATGCCAAACGAGAGTGAATCTGAAGTTGGGTTTTACTTTCACTTTCGCTGGTGAGCGTGTTTACACACAGTAACCCACAATCCTGCATAGTATACCTTTAAGTTAATATGGGACACAATTTGAGGGCTTTTTCTAAAGGTAAGCAGCTGATAACTGTTCTTGAAATTTATATAGCTGTATATATGGGTTTTGTCTCCATCCTATGTGAACCACATTGTTCTGACCTAAACAGTAGTATATTAAGGGGGAAAACATCTCTTCCAATATTCAAATATGCTGAAAATGTCCCTCCCCAATATATTATTAAAAAATGGCTATGACAGGCAACCACGCACCAAGGTCTGAAATAATCATTACCAAATGTAATCAGAATCATAAATAAACTTAATAAACTTGCCATTATTATTACTACTGGTTCTAATGTTACAGTGTACTAGAGTTGTGCTTGTGGTTTATCCAAATGGTGTTTCCATACCCTAGCAGACACCGTTGCTTGACTGCTGTGGGTAGGTACAATCAATAGCCCCTTTAACACTGCCTGTTCAGTGCGGGAATATCACGTTGTTATGCCGCCTCGTTGTTCTGTATATAAGGTACAATCGCGGAAAGAGGGCACAAAGTGGTCCCGCCAAAACTGTGTCTGTATAAACAGGATATATGACAACATGTTATGTGTGCAACCCACAGTGGGAGATTTAAAAAGCAGCTGTTAGCAGTTAGTGGCTAACTCAAAGAAGAACACCGTCCGTAAATGTCTGCAAATAGGGAAAACAATGAGTTCCATGCCCTCTGAGCAGAGGACAAGGTCAGCCGCCATATAACAGGGATGGTAAATGATTGTTATCGACCTTTTAATGCCATTGTTATTGTTTAGAAAGCGCCGCCGATGCTTATGTTTTATGTCACACTGGAGGCTGATGCTGTTGTGTTACATGTCACGCCCATCAGGCCTCTTTTGATTCCAGAAGGCCACGATGCTGTTTACAACCACACACGGGAGCAGAATGATGCTGCCATCGTTTGGTTCTGTGTAAAAATGCAAAGGTTGCATAAAGAAGGGACTTTGTAGCGGCCTTACCACGATCTCTGTGTGAAAGGGGCTAATGTCAAACACTGTTCTCTCTATTTCTTCCCCTTCAAATGTATTTAAACGTGGTAAGCTAGAATGTAATATGAGTGTAACACAGGCTTCCTTCACTGTATCCTAACAGTGTGCCAATCCACCATCCGACTGCAGCACACTGTGAGGACGGAAACAGAGTGCTCAACAGGGATGGAGAACCTGGGAGGGGGGCAGTTGATTATGACCCTGGTTCTGGCAAACAGAAAGCCTGCGGACTAACCTATTCACACCTTTAAGTGAACTGCGCTGTGTAAAAAATACCTTCTGTTTAGTGCCAGTTATGGTAGAGCACACAGAGGTGATGGAAAATGTTAAGTATTTTTGCTTTAAACTCTTCATCTTGGGTACAGACTGGGTGACAAATTTAAGGAGAAATAAAAGAAGTGGAGAAACTAAAGACAAATACTTGGATGCAGAGATCACTAAATTGTTTGAACGGTATGAAAATGAGGTGGACAACCACCACGTGAGTATATTTTAGAAGAGCAACAACTTGTGCAAACAACTTCATGTTATTTTTCTTCTTTACTTTGTCACCCATCTGTATTTACACTTCACATCAAACATATCAGATATCTGTGTTTGATTATCATCCGTTCAGGGCTCTTACCATACTCCCCAGCCTGGAATGCCAACAGTCTGGATAATACTGATCACCACCTGGGCCATGAAGACGAAGAAGAAAGCCATAAAGTTGAAAGAGCTGTCGGTCCTGCACGGGGAGAGTAATAAACGTCAGGAACGATGTGATTCAGCAGAACAGCAGCAGGTACAAAATGTTGAGTAAGCTCAGAGTGCTCACTTGAAGGCCTTATAGATGGGCCTGAACCAGCACACGTAGGAGCAGGGGGTGAAGAGGATGAGCCACAGGATTGCCATGCCGAAGTTGGTCGCTCCGCCACCTCCACACATCCACGCCAGACAGCCAATCAGATTAACGGCCAGTGTTGCACTATTCACTGTTAACAGCACAGAGCAGGAGCGAGGATGACCAAAACATGACAGACTGAAGACAAAAGCCTCCGTGGTGAAAATCCCACAGGCCGCATTACTCATAATTCAGCAGGATTGAATCACTATGAATCTCTGCAACGACCAAACACCAGATTCTCTGTTCTATATTAGAGCTATAAGACTGGAGCTACAATTTATTTAGCACACACAGCACACAGTTTCTACTCTACAGGTACCAAAAATCTTGTGTAAACTAATCTACTTCTTCACCAGACTTACATTCTTGTTTTCAAATGGAAAAACCTATAAAGTAATGAAAAGACACCATGATGCACATGTGAATATTACAGTTTGATTGTACTGTTATCACTGGAGCTGCGACTGTAACACCTAAATCTGTGACCCATCAGATTCTGTCACCCAGTACCAGACTCACTTACTGGTTTGGTTCACAGATTCCGATGGGTCGCAGGATTTGGTGTAACACAGCTAATGACTTTGCCTTGTATCAGAATTGTAAACTCAATCCATCTTCAGTCTGACATTACGTCCACTCTAACTGATTTCCCGAAGGGGAGGGGGATACAGTTTTCCCAAACCAAACACTACAGACCAATATAACCACCTGAATCCAATACCATTTTATATCCACACTGATGTGTAGCCATGCCAACATACATGTATTGCCAGAGCTTTTACGAGTGTAGTGGAGGAAAGCAAAACAATCCATGATGTCGGCCAATATTGAGAAGACATGGCAATTTAGAGCAGCCTCGATAGCAGCATGTAACATATCTATAGCACTCGCCATTGTTGTTATTAATCCTCATTAGTTCTGCCGCACCCCTTGACAACGTTTGACATCAGCTTGACAACAGTGTTAGTCCCGTCCGTGGCCCTGATTGGCTTGTCATAGTCTCTTAGTGGCACTCATTAGTTATGTTGTATTTTAACCAAAAAAAACCTGCTGTTTCATGTCACCATGCCAAATGAATTGGTCAACTCTGTGTAGTGAGTGGATTCCAAATTCTGGACCCAGCTAACCAATTAATCCTTTTGCAACGAATGAACGAACAGATAAGTCATTGGTCTATTTAAAAACAAAAAAATGTGATAAAAAAGTTTCCAAGAGCCCGAGATGTCTAGAGATATCTTGTTTTGTCCGACCAACAAACCTAAACTCAAAGATATTCAATCTTTAATGATTTCCAACAAAGAAAAAAAAAAAAGCAAATCCTCACATTTACGAAGCTGGAGACGGAGATTTCACCATTTTGCTTGAAAATACTTAAAAACAATTATTTTTACGGCAGCCTCAACCCTTTCTGTGTAAAAGTGATACACATTAGGTCACAGACCCCCATTTGATAAGATTTTGCTTCAGGGAGCTCCATCTGAAAAGATTAGGGTGTTAGATATGATTAACAATTCTATAGACGAATCACAATGTTCCAGGTAGAAAACCTCCCAATCACGCACATAAAACAAAATGGCGCTGAGCAAACACTTCAACTGATTAGTTTTCAGCCTGCTTAAAAAAAGGCTGACCAAAAAAAAATCATTATGACTTTAAGTGTACGCTATACTTAGAATATTTCCACTGCTTTACCTTGCTGTCAGACAGCGATTTCCCCAATTATCTCAAAACTCCATTGACAAAAACAGCCATATCAGAACTCAGGATGTGCTGGTCTACCGCTGCCTCTATGAGTTCATTTGTGAGGTAAAGCAATGAAAATATTCCAAATAAAGCACTTACTAAACCTAATATGGATTTTTGTAGGTGAGTCTTTTTAGGTGACTAAATTATGTTTAACTGTAGCCCCCGTCCACAGCAGCTGGCCTCCATCGCTTAGCTTCCATGCCGGTAGGTTTGGTTTATGAAAGACAGTAGCAAAGCAACACAGAAGGCACAGCAGAACCATCAGATGGGTCAAACCACCTTGTTTAACTATATATCTAAAAACGTTATAGTTACAGCTCAAATTACGACAGAAATAAACAAGTCTGCCAATTTCACATATGTCCGCAATTCAAAACAAATGCCGGCTGTCCACAAGGAAGTGTTAGCGTAACATCACGGTGATTCAGTCTAGAGTGGTCATCTACAGTGGAGGAAGTGAAACCTATGATCAGAAAAGTCACTCCATACATCCATTTTCAACTGCTTATACGAAGCAAGGTCGCGGGGGCAGCAGGCTGAGCAAAGCACCCCAGATGTCCCTCTCCCCTGCAACGCTTTCCAGCTCCTCCTGGGGGACCCCGAGGTGTAGGATACCCAAGCCAGATAAGATATGTAATCCCTCCAGCATATTCTGGGTCTACCTCAGGGCCTCCTACCAGTGGGACGTGCCAGGACCATCTCTTACAGGAGGCGCCCAGGTGGCATCCTGATCAGATGCCCAAACCAGCTCAACTGACCCCTTTCGACACGAAGAAGCAGCGGCTCTACTTCGAGCTCCCTCCGCATGTCCGAGCTCCTTACCCTATCTCTAAGGCTGAGCCCAGACACCCTTCACCAGTCACTCATGACCCCAACACACATTAGGCTCACGTCTATTGTATATTAAAGAGTGAAAATAAACTATTCCTCATTTTTCTCAGGACCTCCTGGGACTCCCCGAGGGTCTCTGGACTCCTGGTTGAGAACCACTGCTCTAGTTGACCTGCTAGAGCCTACACCCACTATAAGCTGAGTCCTTAGCAGCAGCCAGGATTTGAATTCAATGTCATCCCCTCCCTCTACCCACTTTCCTGTCACTCTCCAGCTATCTGTACCAATACAGGCATTAAAAGCCCCCAAAAGTAATCCTTAAAAAGTATTTTCTGCCGATCAACTTGATCAAAACTAACCTCAGGTCCATTTTAGATTTGTGAAGAGCAAAAAGCAAATGTGTCAAGCAAACATAGACACAATATTTCAATCTTGGCATGAAGATGCACAAGAAAATGGGAACCTGACAGTGAGACCGGTCAATCTGGTTTCACAGCTATACTGGAGTGCCTCTGATGTCTGGCTCTCTCATGATGTTTTGGGTAAAACAAAGTGACACGGCATGGAAACACAGGAGCTATGGACATGTTAACAGCTTATACCATGATGCAGGAAGCAATCCACACTGAAACTTGAGTTGTACTTAAAGATGTTGCACATGTACATGCGATACTGCAACTCAACAGTCAATGCACAAACTTTTACAGCAGATACACTCACAGATCCAGAGGTAGTAGAGCCTCTTGCACATGGTGCGACGCTGGTCTGGGATCTCATTGAAGTCTTGGTAAAAACATGGCTTGAGGGGGATGAACCGAGGCAGGGGAGGGAAGTTGTTTTCTAGGACACAGAGACACAGTTCAACGCAGCTGCCCACACACCAAATACATAAAGAAATCAAGACAGCTGCATGAAGGATTACAATTTAGCCTTTATAAAGGGGCTGTGCATGGACTCCAAAATCACACGCACACTGTGTAGTTGGCTTACCTGCCATGATGACCACTCAGTATTTTCCTCCACTTGCAAACAGGCACACAAAGTCCAATCTCAGCTGCCTTTTACACCAAACTGCAGGGGAAGGAGCAGAGCTGTTTTATGAAATGCAACATCACTCACTCACACTGCTCTCCTTGTGGTGGTCTACAGGGCCACAGTCCTCCATCAGGCCTTCCTGTCCATGCATTCACACTCTTCACTGGAATCAAAGACTTTAAATCCCTGTATGATTTGATCAGAGGTGGTGCCCAGCCCGTCCAGTGCATCCACCCACAATGCTGCATCATTCATTAAATCGACAGAGACAAACATGTTTTCTTGACCACACATTACAGCTGTGTGATCCGCGCGGTGGGAAACTGTGGCCTTGTCGCGATTCCTAAAATGTATTCATAACCTATGGGCGCAAATTAGGCGTTTACAGGCCTGTGGAGTCCACAGATTGGACTATAGCTGATAGACATGTTTGTATAGCCATAGGATATATCAACCACCTTCCACATTATATCTGAATGTGTCTGTGAGCCACATTTCAATGCATGCAATGATGGTGGATGAGTGCAGCTCTGAAGGGCATCTTTCTGCCTCAAATTAAAGCCATCTCAGCTCAGAAAATCAAGCTGATCCTGGTGGATTTTTGTTCATAATGATGCTAAAACTGTCCTCTATGTGTGTTTCTGTCGGCGGATGGCAGTGATGCTGCAGTAGGGCACAGTGCATCGTGATCACAGGCGATGGAGAAGCGTCCTTCAGCCTGTGCGACACGGTGCATCGGTGCTTCCTCTCCATCCGGACGGAGCAGGTCAAGCCCAGACACTCCTCACAATAACCCACCCAGGATGCAGATATCGAGGCTTTACTGAAGCTTATTTTAATACATTAATGTCCCTCCTCCGGTAATGAATGAACGTGCAGTGATTAAAACGCCTTACCTCCAGTTTAGTCCGTGAATGTGGCTAAAATCCCTCCGTTCGTTTAAATAGCATCCTATGATTCAATCTGCCTTTGAACGCATCAGAGGAAACGGCCGCGCGCTGCTTTAACACATATATGTTATTCCTCAAATGATGGGTTTGGGAGTAAGAGGCGGTCACGTGACGTAAGGTCTTTTCTTTACGCACATACACCCCCCCTCCTCATCCGCTGCCTTTACCCGCCCGGGCAGGACCACGGCCCCGGGAAAAAAACGGGATTTGTTGCTGGCCTGAACTGACCAATCAGAGAGCAGGAATATTCCAACAAGCCCCGCCCCCTCTCTGATTCTGTACACTGCTGAAAATAAGAGGATACATTACACAATCTGATCTGTGATTGGCTGCCTGATAAATAAACTACTATACAAATATTACACAAAAATAAAAAGATGTTTGACAGGCCTGGTGTGAGGGAGAAGAATATCAGCTGCAGGCTCAGTGTGGTTTATTCATAAATAATACAATGGATAAACAAATAAATATAAACAATACAAATAGAATAAACAAAATAGTGACTGAAAAGGCTCATGAGTAAGAAAAAAATAATAATTCAGACTAGTATCCCTCAAAAATAGCTTTTTTTAAATCCTTTTTTTAACCATAAATAATTTACATATTTTTTAATTTGAATAATGGCATTGTTACACAGTTTAACCCAAACAATAGAAACACATATCTTTCCAATCTTTTTTGGCTTTTTGTACAGTAAATTTACAAATACACGTCAAATTGTATTTGCTCTCCTGTGCAAAATTAAAAAAAAAAAAAAAAAGTAAAAAAAATAATAAAAATAATAATAATGTACACAGTCTGGAGTGACTTTATTTCTGCTCTGAACATTATTTGCATTATTTTATGATAAACCAAATCATTAAAAAACAACACATTAGTGTGATCATAACCAGCCTTATTAATAATACACATAGCTTGCTTTTGTAGTAAGACTACTGAATTTGTAATCATTTTAAAGGTCGACCCCACAATTCCACATGATAAGGAAGAATAAGTGAACAATAAATTATATTCATTATATATAACATGTTTTTATTGTCTGTACCAAGGGTACGTGCAGAGTTTGGTAAGAGAGTATTTATGTATGCAGCTCCTTATATGTGGAATCTTCTGCAGAGGGGAGACTTGGATTTGCACTCTTTGGTTCCTCTCGGCCGTTTCAAAGCACTGTTGCAGGATTTTTGTACACAGTCTTCTATGTGCTTATGTCACGACGTGTCTTAGCTGGTCTTTGTAATCATGTGTAGTTGCTGTTTTTTGCATTTTTGTGGTTGACCTCTAGTATACATTATCATACTTTTTGGCTTTTCTTTGTAGTAATCTTATTTTGTGTTTTATATTGCTTGTTTTAGAGCTGTATTATTCTACATTATTTGTCTGTCTATAACGTATATTGCTGCCTGTCTCGGCCAGGACAGTCTTGAAAAAAAGATTTTTAATCTCAAGAGGTTTTTCTGGTTAAATAAAGGTTAAATAAATAAAATATACAAGGCCTTACAGTTGGCTTCATACTATATAGGATTGCTACTGACTGACATTTTTCTTGTAATATAGACAATATGTTGTTTCCATGTTAATCACAGTAATAGGAGGGGATACAAACTTAATGAACAAGATGGCTACATATGAGAGTTACATTTAGTATAGTCTCGCCACCAGACAATCAGAGATCTCCACCTACTGATAAGCAAAGTGTCTAAAGACTGACTTGTGAGTCTACATTTAGCATACTACTTTAAGCAAGTTTATTTGTGTTGCACAGTTTGTATACAGAGACAATTTAAAGTATTGAACATAATGCACAATATTAAATAAACTGAAAAAAAAAGGTTATACAGCATGAAACATTTCAACACAAATGAAATGGACAGCAAAAATTTTAAACCAAAGCAATAGAAAAAACCCTAAATAAATACATAACACATGGTGCACAGTTCAGTTAAAGGCAGTGAATAACATAGCCTAATGTTTCAATCACACCTCTCAATAATTTACTCCTTACAAAGGGTTTATGAGTTGAAACATTTACTAACAGATGCTAAATTGTTCACTAATATTTTATAGCAGTGGTTCCCAGTTGGTGGGTTGCGGTCCAAAAGTGAGTCACAGATCCATTCTGAATGGGCCGCAAGTGACTCACGAAGATGTCAAGTTTGTAAAACACACACTTTACTTTGAAGTACAGTGAATTTATGGCACAGAGCTTTCATTTTGAAGTGCTGTTTCCTGCTGTAGAGTGAGTGACTACTGGACAGCTACTTATTAGAGACAACAAACTAGCTGACATGGCCAAAAGCAGGTATGATGCTGAATTTACTAGATTGTGTGGACCTTGAACTAATGACCAAGGAGGAATCTGGACAGCGTGGTTGGACCAGTTGGAAACCACTGATTTATAGAACAGTTATAATGTATATCTTTTATGTTTTTTATTGTGTTGTTGCTTGGCTGCAACTTGTCTGTATGCTGCTGTCTTGTCCAGGTCTTCTGTGATGATCAACAGGATTTAACTGGTCAAAAATGGGTTTTAAAAAGTTAAGACAGTTTTCAGATTACAAAAAATCTCTCTTGAGTTAAATGATTTATAGACAAACAGCAGTAGATGTCATTTTATTCTATGAAACCAGCACAGATAACTACATTTCATTGTATTTGTTAGAACTGAGTTATGTAGGCCTTGACAGGAGTCAGTGTCAAGGTAAGTTTCAGGTTGACGGGTTGAATAGACTGTGAAAGTTCAGATTTTGCAGCTCGAGGCACAAAGAGAGTTTTAAAGTCAAATCTGATGTCAGCATCAAAATAGTCTCTGGTAGTGTGTCAGCTCTGGACTGTAGGAGTAGGAAGATGTTGCCTGGAGCATGTGACTTTTTGTAGTCGGGAGTTGAGTGAGCATATTGTCATCCCTGGCCCTTTTAGTCTTGAATCCAAAACAATGTATTTTAGGTGGTACATATAAAAACAACCATACTCCCTGTTATGTACATCAGAGCTACAAAAACTGCACTGACACTGATTTTGCTGTTAAAGTGTGAGAAAGCGAGAAAAGTTTATGCATGTTTGTGCATTCTGTCACAATCGACCATGCCCTTATGATCTGGGGATATTGCCTTTGACTTTCTCATGCCTGACAAAGTCTGTCCCTGGCTCTGGGCAGCTGTTGGTGCAGGAGGAAGAGTGATGTTTTGTTTCTGCTGCTCTGGACATCGATCCCGTGCTGCTTTCACTGCTCCTCGTTAATTACAAGTTATTGGTGATTCTCGCACATGATAGAACGAAGATGAAAAGCGCACAACAAACTTGTATAAACGTTTTTACCAGAGTTGGTTGTGTGCTCTTCTTTTGTATTCATTTACTGACACATCGCCCCACGTATGCCTCTTTTTTCGGTTATGTATCTGCCACGCTTGTGTTAACACATTTTGCTTTTCCGCTATTTCCACTTGTCATGAACGCAGCAGTTCCTGAAGCCAACGTTAGCTCTTCCTGCAGTGCTATGAGTTGAGGAAGACTGAAGGTAACGGTAAATAACGCTATTAAACTAGTGTCTGTCATGTGAAATAGGTCTGTGTGCCACAGGGGTGTATTACTGATATATTCAGGATCCCACAGCAGTCCGACAGAGCTGTATTTGTCATCAGTCGGCGACAGATAGCAGCCCTTCACTTGTTGTAGCTCGGCTAATGCTAGCTAACGTAGCTTCCTCCTCACACCCTCCTGTGCTAGTGAAGGGACAACATCACCAGCTAACCTAACACAGCAACTTCAGGTATTTACAGCAAAGTTGTCAGCGTAGGAAAAATAAGGTTTGTGGGACTTTTTGTGTTGGAATTACAGTTCTTATTTTGACGTTGACCATTAAAGTTAGAGTAGACATTAACTGTTGACGTAGGGCTTAATTTAGCAGTAGCTTTTGACTGTTTGCTAAATTAGTGGATGAGGTTACCTAGGTCAGTTCACTACAGGTACAATAAGAGCTAAGCTAGGTGTTGTGGTAAATGGTGTATCCCTGTCAGAAAATGTTCTCCCTTTAAAGTAAGGAAGGATGAGGAGGAAGTAGACCTCCATCACTGATTTTAAACTATGAAGTTAGAAGAGATTAGTTGATTAATATATTAGTCGGTCGACAGAAAATTGATCTAGTGTCATTGATTGTGATATTGATTTGTCATTTATTTTTTAACATGTCAAATACTAAATGGTTTCAGTTTCTTACATGTGAGGATGTTGTACTTTCAGTTCTCTTGAATCATAGTAAACTTAGTAGTTTGGAAATCTGTCCTGTTGGTTTGACAAAACAAGCACTTTAGTTGCAGGGCAATTGTTACTGCCTTTTCTTACAGTTTTCTAAAGATCAAATAATTGATCAGTTAATTGACAAAAAAATAATCTGCTGATTAAAAATGAAATTAATCTGAAATTTTTAGAAAAATTCGGGAAAGAGATATTAATTCAATTATGAAAGAGGATGTTTGGAAAACTACAGTGGCCAGTGCCATATGGTCAGTTAGAGATGCACTGGGCAAATTTACACAAATCAAAATTATATACTGGTATTATTATACCCAATATAAGCTTCAAAGAATGGGACTTTTGGAGGATAATTGTTGCTGGAGGTGTCAAACAGGTCCCTGCTGCCGCCAGGTATACCTAAGCAACAATTTGGGCTTGCACTGGCAGGTTTTGTCAGGGCATCAAGGACTTGTATTTCAACCGTTTCTCAGTTACTCAGTGTGGTATGTTGATTCATATTGCAGTCTTTTGTTTATGTTGTGGAAATTTAATGAAATACTTGAATTACAAAAAAGAGAAAATAATCATTAAGGGGGAAGATTCTGATGAGTGTACACAATCTGACACACCACTTTTTACAACTCCTCCCTCAGGGTGTCAGAAGCACTGAGTCAGTGGACTGGTACCTGGGATTAATTCACCCATCAGCAGTTATAATTCCATAATTCATTTATTATATTTCAGCTGTGCAATAGGGACCTAAAGGTGCAGTAATTATCTTTAACACTGTCTTACTGTATAATAATTGGTGCAATAATTGAACTAGAGCAATACTCTGTGCAATTATTTAACTGTGCAATATTCTTCAGTATCCTAATTTGTAACAACACCACTTTTGAATGTATATTTAACATGATATATATCAGATATATTTCTTACTCTAATTTTTATTCATACATATGTAGTGTTGCACACACTGTTGCATAAAACACATTTTTTATATTTACACACTTTACATTCTAATCATATTATACACATTTTATATTTTTAAATGTTAAACATTGTAGCACAATGCGCATATTTTTATTTTTATATTTTAGGTACATTGCACTTTTATACTTATTATTTCCACTTCTATCATTCTCTATGCTTACATCAGAGTGGGGATGTGTGACGTTGAATTTTTTGCAGATATCCGATATGCCAATATGTAATAAACTCATCTGACCAATAACCGATACTGATATTGATATATTCCTGTTTTTCCCTACCTAGTTTTATTGATCAAGTCTCTCATGTTGGCCGATTCATTTTAAAGCCAATATCTGCCGATACCAATGATGTGCCGATATTATCATGCATCCCTACTGAAATGTATCAGGGGGATCAATAAAGTATTCTGCATCTAATTAGTCAGTTTCTGTTTGCCCTCACATATGTGGTCATGCAATGTAACTGTGCTGTTAAAAAATGAATTTATTTTGTGGCTGTGCCCTCTGTGTGCTATCTTATCACCTCTGTTTGCAGTGCTGGGAATGCAGCCACCGCTCCCACCTGAGGCAGTCAGAGAGCTGGTGTGCTCCTGTCTGCACAGAGACCCGGTCGCAGCAGACCTCCGCTGCAGCCTGTTTGTTGCTGCTGCACAGAACTACAAGAGGGACTCCTTGCTCAGACCTTTCCCTCCTAGATACATAAGTGGGGACAATAAGGACTTTGAGGAGCTGGTAAGTCATAGAGTGACAGTCAGAAGTTCTTGGACACCCTCTATTGTAGCATTTGTGCATAATTGAATTATTTGAAATGCCTTTTAGATGTTATAAGTAAGCAATAAAGGCAGTAAGTGAGTTGAGAAAAAACTAAAAAAAAAAACCTGCTTAGAAAGAAAGCACATGCACACCATGAGTAGTATGGTGGTGGCATGATACACCTGGTGGCAGTAATGTGCTGTTAAAGGCAGCAGTGTGTCAGTAAAGAAGGCAACGAACAAGACTGCAAGACAGTGATGCAGATCAAATGTCAGATCAGTGCATTAAAATTGATTTGGAAATGTTTAAAAATAATATATTTTGTTAGGAAACACTGAACATACATTAAAAAAGAAATCCTCCACAGACACTTTAGTGAAGCACAAATTAGGAGTCACAAAGATTTTTCAGCTTGGCAGGTGCTTACAAATATGATTTATGTCTTTGGTGGGCCACCTTAAGTGACTTGTTAGCCGCCATGGGATGGAAGTGTCAGATTCAAGTAAATTGTCATTACCCTGAGAAGTGAAAGGCTGAATCTGCTTGTATCCATTCTACAGTATTTTATCATTTTATTGTATTTGAAATGAGCATGTCTCCAAAAACAACGATGTACAGAACATTTTGATTGGCAGTGTGTATATCTACTCTATATTACAGATTTGTATCTTTGTATATACTGATTTTGATATAGAATCATTTACATGGCCAAATATTCATTATGACGTTGAGGCAGAGATGATAACTCAGTCTCAGAGGAACGATAGCACATAGGCTCCTCTTGATGTGTCGATATGATTAAAAGAAGTTTGTTGTGTCTAGTTAGCAGATGTGCACTCTCTGCCTGGTGTGAGGGAACTGGTGAGACTACGGCCCAGAGAGGGAGATCATCATCTGGCTCTCACACACTGGATCCTCTCTTCAAAGAGCTTCGCTGTGAAAACACTACAGAAAGAAGAGGTGTGTTACTGCAAGTATAAACACATAAATCACAGTATCTTTTACTGCTCGCTTATTTGTTTACAGTGTGTTTCATCGATCTCTTCCAGTATGCCAAACTTTGTGACTTGACGCAAAATGAAGGGATCTCTGCGCCTGTGCCAGACTTCCTGTTTGAGCTGGAGTACTGCGATCAGATGAACGCCAGGTTCGAGAAGACGAGGGAAGGCAGAGACGTCTTTTATGCATTCCATGGGAGCCGCCTAGAAAACTTTCACTCTATCATTCACAATGGGCTGCACTGTCACCTCAACAAGGTTAGTGCAGTCATCACTGCTTCATCTCTTCTGTGACTTAAGAGGGCTCTTAGCTTAAACACTGAAATCATCCCTTATAGACCTGCTGTTGTGCAATATAGTAAATAAGACTTCATGGAGCTGTTTTTTGTCTGCGTGTTGTGTGCAGAATTCAGTGTTTGGAGAGGGGACCTACCTCACCAGTGACCTCAGCATGGCTGTCCTCTACAGTCCTCACAGCAGTGGCTGGCGAGAAAGTCTCCTGGGTCCACTGCTCAGCTGCGTTGCCTTGTGTGAAGTCATCGATCACCCAGATGTAAAGTGCCAGGTGAAGAAAAAAGGTGTGTGACTCACTGGACTCACAGCATAACACGCATTTGAAATCAGAATAAGATTTATTACCAAGGAGGTTATCAGTTACAAGGAATATGCTGTGGTTTTTGGTGCATACATGAAACATACAATTAACATATGAAGAGGAAATAAAAAATAAGGTCAAGTACTGCAAAACTCAAAGTACTATAATATAAAAAAATATATAGAAAAATATGAAGCTGTTTCAGAAATAAAGCTGTACAGTTTTGTGCAGGATGTGCAGAATATTAGCCAGGGGATGTGCAAAATTCCACAGCAGAGCAAATCCTGTAACCCTGATTTTTAAATTGCTTCATATCAAAACGAGTCACTCATTTCCCATTTCAGATTCTGAAATCATTGACCGTCAGCGCTCAAGAGCAAAGAACAGCGAAGGGGGAGACGTCCCGCAGAAGTACTTTGTAGTTACCAACAATCAGCTTTTGCGAGTCAAGTACCTGCTTGTTTACTCTCAAAGGAGGCACCTTTCCAGGTAAGAGTCACCTGTGGGTAAATGGTGAAAGTGCTGGAAAAGTGTTTATAAGCTACATTACACACAAAAATGTTGCTTTGAAAGTGCTGTGCAAAATACACATACATTCCCCGTGATGGAACTTTTTCAGTTTAAAAGATGCATGGAAATTCGGCGTTCAGCAAATACTAGCTTCTTTGTCATGAGGTGATCCAGTGGCATCATAGGCAAATATCTGCCCAGTTGCAGCTGAGTATGTAAAGTCTGTGCTAAATGCAGACACACTTTAAGGCTTGAAACACTGACCTTCACCGGAGAGAGTGATTGCATCCCGTAAGATTCTAAAGCCAAACCCTGTTCTTTTTTCCTGTTTGTTGTTGAAGGAAAAAAATGTCAATTTGCAGTGTTGTACCGATGTAGTGCGTTTATTTTGAAAGAGACTGTATGTTATTGGTAAATTTCCTGTGAAAACGGAAGTGTATTTTGAAAGAGGATAATGCATGTAACAGGCATAACTTGACACAGTGTCAACAACCAACACACCCAGGGTACTTTGCACGTCGTATGCAGAAGCGGAAAGTCCATGACCAAAATGTCAATATGTGACGAGGTCAGAGTGAGAATTGCTGAAAATAAAAGAGGAACACATTAAAGCAATTAACAGTCATTTAAACCATGAAATAAAAATGTCTGCAGTATTTGTTGCTACCTCTCTACAAATGACTGAAAACAGGAATAGAGAACAGAAACCGCTCCTCAGACGCTAACAGAAATACGTTTCAAAACAACATTCATATTATTATATAATTACTATTCTACTTGTTATTTATTTAAAAGATAAAAAGACCAGAAGTCGCTGAAAACAACACATCAAGTATGAACAAAGTGAAATGTGCCAAGGTAACGGCCATCTTGGTGTTGGTGACATATTTCTTGCGAGACCAGAGATGTAGTTCACTGATCGGTTTCACACTAAACTAAATGGTAAGACAATCTTAAGACAAACTGCAACATTATTGACTGGCTGAGTTATCTTTTAAACTGAAAGACATCATGTGTGTAATTCATGGCATGATTCTGGATCAAAAAAATGATTGTTTCTTGCTGTTGACTGCTTATTTTGGCTCCTTTTCCAAAATAAGGTTCCATGGGGGACACTGGAAGGCCTTTTTTTGTTTCTGGAAATGAAATATTACCAAACCCATGAGTCAGTTTTGGTTGTTGCCCATAAACAAAGGGTAATTCCTGTGTTTTTCCTCTCCAGACGTTCCCGCAGCACCTCCTGGCTCCTCAGACACCATTTTGCCATCATGATGAGTCTCTACCTTCTGCTGCTCATATTCATCGGTGCCTTCAACTCCACCACCTTCGTATCCTTTTGGAACAGACTGTTCAGGTGACGACACAACCAGACAAATGGCCTAGATGTGTGTGATCCACAGTGCCTTCCTGATCGGAGACTGACTGGAGGCCTGAGCAAAGATAAAGTCTTATGCACCTTTATACTGTTTCCTCTCTGCAATCCTTCTTTATTTGTGCAAATAACTTTAGTTACTGTTATTCCAAGATAACATATCTTTTCAAATATTGGGATCATGTTGTGTTTCAATTTTGTTGAAATGGGTGATAAGGCCATTCTGCATTTTGACAATGTTATGCAATGTTATGTTTGTAATTTGTTTGGTTTAGTAAACATCCTGTTTTTTTTTTTAGATATGTTCTGTTGCTGTGTGGTTTTAGTTATCTGAGGACACAGTCTTACTAACAAAGGGTTAAAAGAAAAAGCATCTTGTTTAAATTACTGCACAGCGACAAGTCAAGCATTAAGATGTTTTTTTGGTTTGTTAGGGCTGAAGTACAGAGGATTATCAGTGCATTAAAGCTGGGGTAGGCAGTTTTTTTGCATGACTGGGCAAAAATCCCATAATAACCTTTCAGCATATTGTAAATCAACTGGTCTGAGAGAACACTGGGCCTCTGCACCTCCTCTTGGCTCTGTCTTCTGGCTTTAGAAAATGTAGCCTGTGACGTGAGACTTCAGCCAATCACAGGTCATCTCAGAGAGAGGGTGTTCCTATTGGCTGTTCTTCAAATGCAGATGTGCCTGCATGTTCCTTCAGATGGTGAGAGTCTGATTCAGAGGTGGAAAATCATGCAGAACAAGATGCTATTCCAGCGAACATTGTAAAGCAGCCCATAAAAGGAAGATGGATTTATCAAAAAGGGGGTCTGACAGTAAACCACATGTCAGTATCAGCGAAGCGTTTCAAAGATGAATGGAAAATGTTGCCAATAGTTTAGCCTTTTGCTAACCATAACCAAAGTTTCACAGCTGTTGCTAATTATAAGTTCATGTAGGGCTGTCCCTGACTCAGAATTATGTCAGTCGAATCAGATTCGGCCATTTAGTATGAATATTGGATGACTTTTTCATCTTTCTTTTTTTTTTCATTTTTCAAGTTTGAATGGGACTTAGCCGGAGGTTCAGTTTGACAGCGGCATTTATGTAATATAGTAATCAAGCTAACAGCACTAACAATGGAACAGAAATGTGCAGCAACATTTTTTACCGACACTAGATATCAAACAAAAGCCAGAGACTGTGTCGTATTAAGTATCTGTGAGCTGTAAATTCACCATTTCTAAGCAGAAGAGAGAAGAGAATGTTAAAGTTTCTCCTCCTTTGTGTCACTGCATCATCGCCGCAGCTGACTGTACCAAAAAGTAGCATGAAAGTCCAGAGAGCTCACTCCACAGCAAAATCTGGGGGGTAAAATGTCTCAAAAAGTACACTGCATAGCACACTAAATAGCAATAAAAAAGACTGCTTGACTTGAAGCTATCTCAGTCGACTGAGGGGTCTCCGACTGATTATTCGAATCTCCCACTTTCAAGGGGCAGCCCTAAGTTCATGTTTCAAATCACAGTATATCATCTCATCCCACAGGATGCTAGTTCTCATAGAAATGCTGCAGCCCAGTCGTCAGAAGAAAATGTTGCCATTGTACATTTCTGAAAACCACGAATGTTCTTACGCATCACGTCAGCATTTGTAAAGTGACGTAGTACATGAGCTAATTTTATCATTGGTAAAGGGTTGGTGTGATGCCTAAGGGAGATGCCTGCCAAGCTACAGACAACTGGTTGTGACCTACTGAGTCATTGCAACCAGAGCGTTTGTTTTTTTTTAGGTACGATTTTTCTTTTTTTTTTTCTTTTTTTTACTGTGACATTGCTGCTTTCTCCTGCTGGGATTGTGCCCCTGAGCTGGGTATTTTCAGCCCAAACCTGATCTTTTCCTGACTGAAACCTGACCAAAGTGTTTTTTGTGCCTACACCTAACCACATGTTAACCACAGCGTTGTTGAAACATGAAGTTTCGTGCAAATGTAACATATTTTTGGTTTAAAAAAACGTTCAATGCCAACATTTTTTCTGGCAGTTGGGTCGATGCTGCTATCACAATCAGGATGACTGAAATGAATGAATAGTTCTCGTAGTACAAGTTGCTTTCCGAAGCGTGTGCATATACCTGTAATTGTCTGGTGGGAGGGACTCAGGATAGAGAGGGAAGAGCTGCAGGAGGAGGGTGTGTTTTCACATTCTGGCATTTCTTTTGTTTGTTTGTTATTTGCTTTTTCGAGAAAACTGCCTCTCCCATCTTTAACTGATCACATTGACTCATTCTCACATCGCCTGACAAGCAGGCACTACTGACAATGTCTCAATTTAAACTCTTACTTTTTAATGTTATGATTTTGAGTCAATCAGTCATGGGTAGGGACCTTTTATAACTCATGATTTAAGTGTAACTTTAAGGTTTTGATTTTAACGGTTACATTCAATAAAGGAGAACTATATGAGGTTGTTGTGCTGACGTAATGTATTTATAAGGACGGATCACAGAAAGGCCGATGACGACCTCATGATATGCTCCTATATCCTGATATTAGTAAAGGAAATAAACTGTACATCCACAGGTTCTGAAAATTTATTACAATTTTTGACACTAATAAAATTATACTTTGATTTAAGTTGTTTTAAGGGGTCAAATGAGGTTAGTTTGTTCTAAAGGTGACTTAAATATTATTCAGACATGCTGCGAATCTCTGCCAAAATCTATGTGAAGGTCACTCCTTCATAATAATCTCTTGTACTTTTCTATTGTTTTGTGTCGTATTCAAACTTTAACATGAGTCTCCTCTGACAGGGGCACATTTATTACCGCTGGCACGCAGGCAGTCCTTTGTTATCCGTTGTTTTTATCAGTAAAAAAAAAAAAGTGAGACGGCTATATGGGATTGATAACACAGGCGGCCCGCTTTGGTGACAGATCCTGTCCTTATAATAGAGACCTGATATGCTGCTGTGCTCCACAGTTAGAGACACAAGAAATGTACGAAAGAAAGACATTTTAAACAGTTATTTTTATGGTTTGCCTTTAAATTTGTAAGATGACAAAATATTACCTGATATGAGTACTTTGATTACAAATTTAAAAACAGTTAAGTTATAGTTTTAGCATTAAATATATCTATTTTCTTGTAGGTTTGTGAGAGCCAGAGGTGTAAACAATTAGATTTAGATTAGATAATTGCTTGTACAGACACAGGACAAGGCGCCACACACTCCTCATCTGTCTGATTAAACACCGGGTATTATTTAGATATCGCAGCACTCCGGTGATGCAACTGACTGACAAGTTAAAGGAAGATGAAAGAAAATGCAGGCCTTTGTTTTGGTATGAAAAAACAATTCCTTGTTGTGAAATCCCTTCCAGATAAACTGCGTCTCCTCTTCAGAAACAGCTCACATTTGAAGGACACAGAACAAACTGTCCATTGTTGGTCCCACACTTTATTCCCTTTCTGCACAAGCTTCATTATTGCTGCCTCATAAACCGTCTGTTATTCAATAACCATCAACTGTCAGGGGGGCAGCGACGGCAGAGGGGACTCGAGGCGCTTCACTTCTCCCGTGAACCACAATAACTCCCAAAAGGGGAGCCGTTCAAACAGAAGCGACACGGCGCTACACTGATATGATGATTTAATTTATTACGTTGTTGTGCTCATAATATTTCACCTCATTTCTCTGTCTCAAGGTCAGTTTTGTTTCTCTAATGCTTGCTGCATTGTTTCTAATTCTAATGCGGTGTCCACATTGGTTCAGACTAGAAGACTAAACTTGAGAACAAATGCTAATACAATGCCATAGAGTGCTGGGAGTTCTAGGTTTATTGGAGGCCAACATGAAGTAAACATCGCCCTGGTTCCCTCATCAAAAAGCCAAAGAGAATTTTCGATTGGATTTTGGATTTTTACAGAAAATAAGCTCTGTGGCAAACAAAAGTTTTTGAGATTTACATGTCTTGTTCAGCAAGATAATCTTCACAGACCACTGATTCAGTTTTTGAGGTGTAAATGCAATTGTCAGGTATTTGGTGATATTAGATTTTCACTGAGTGTTATCATGGCCAAAAAGAGTTCACGATAACCATTTTATCATGATATTTATAAAAGATTTGAGAAAAATAATAATGCTATCAGTCAGATTCATCTTAAACTTTGTTTATTGTGTGTTTTGTCTCTTTTTTGGCAAATGTATTACAGTTAAAATGTGAGTGTAGGGAAGGGGACAGAGAGTCTTATACTATAACTGTACAAAACTGCACAAATCTGGCAGCTGTTGCTCAGAGGTAGAGCGTGTTGTCTACTAAATGTGAAAATGGCAGATTGATCCCCGACTCCTCCAGTCTACATGTTGAAGTATCCTTGGGCAAGATACTGAACCCCAAATTGCTCCCGATGGCTGTTCCATCAGTGTGTGAGTGCATGTGAATGGTCACTGAGTAGCAGGTTGCATCTTGTATGGTAACCTCGGCCACCAGTGTGTGAATGGATGAATGTGACATGTAGTTTAAAAATGCTTTGTGTGGTTGGAAGACTAGAAAGGTGCTGTACAAGTGCAGTCCATTTAACATCTATTATAAAGAGCATTTATGCCTAATGGATAGTAAAAAGGCAACCAGACAGCCTTAGGGGAAGGAGACAAAGTGAGAACTGAAAGAAACGGAAATTATTTAAGAGGCGTTGGATTATTTACACAATATAATCGTGTATTAGTAACATGATATCGATATTGCATTTTACATATCATGCTTATTGTCAATACCGGTATATAGTGACATCCCGAAGATCATAAACCACAGTAGTGGACAATTTTACATTTGAACCTCATGATGGGGTGACATGTAAAGTCAGATGGTTTATCCACAGGAGGACATGAATGTCTAAACTAAGTTTCTTGTCAGTCCATCCAAGTTGTTGAAATATTTCAGTCTGTACAAAGTGACAAACAAATATTGCCATCTTCAGAGCTAAAACTGTGTCTGCATTGTGGAATTAACTGACTCCAAATACATGGAGTGTAATCATTTCAACAGAGAACTTTTTAAAGCAGGTGGAGTTTGTGAACTGGTGACTTTAACCTTATTAACTGTGTGTCCACATAGGGAAATGTGTCTTGCAGAAAAGTAGAAATTCGGGGCACTGTCAGGCGTTAACATAAGATGCACATTTTTTTCTTTTTTAAATGCTCAAACCCACAAGGTCACTGATAAAAATGTACATCGAGAGATATGTTAACCCATTCATGAAGGGGTAAAACATCACCATTATTACCATGGAAATAATAAAATCAAAGAAAGTACAGTATGACATCATTTTATTTCACATGATTTAATAATACATTACATTTCACAGTTTTATATTCAGGTTTACATGCATACAAAATGTGATTGTTGGAATAAGAATCTTCAGTATACACAAAGTTTATAGATAGCTGCCTTTTTCCATGTTGCTACATGAGCTGCTGAAGAGTTCCTCTCTTTACGTTGTTGTGTTTGGACAGGCTGGGACCAGACACAGAAAATGTCCCTCAGGATTTGCCTGCAGAGAAAAGAAGGGAAAACACAGTGTTGGATTAATGACTGTTTTAAATGAGCACAATGTAATGAGGAAATACAGGTTGTTGGTGTAGCTCTCACATACCTGCAGGTTGTTGTGGCACACAGCGTTATGAGTGGCTATCAGGTGATTGTGCACACACTTCCCAAAGTGGTGTAGACAGGAGTGATCAGAGGGGCTGCAGGTCTGAGGACATGACGGCGGTTTCAGCAGCAAGCAGCTTGAACAGGAGGTGTGTTGGCAGGAGCCCTGGCACTCTGTCTTCTCCAGAGACACAAACCTACAGAGCAGCACGTTCAGATTTCTGTTACAAATCCAGCACGAGACATTACAAAAGAAAAAAACATCTTTGTTTTCAGTCACCTGGCGGAGCAGATTTCAGAAGGGTTGGCCTGACAGTATTCCCTGGTGCACTCTGGGTGACAGCTCTCCTGATCCGACGATTCAATCACTGCACAAAACAACATTTAAACACTTATTTATTACTTCTTTTCCCGAGCAGCAACAAAACATGAAGATCTCTAATCTCGTACTACGTCTGATACTGTATCAATAACGGCGGCAACTCAGGTTGCCATGAGGAGATAAGAGGTGTAATTATGGCTTAACTCGGAGCAGAAACCTTTGAATCAAAGGAAGCCTTGACCACGCTATCAGTCTTCACAGCTCATAAACAAGATCCACCACATTGGCACCATTCCCACTGCAGGGGGACTAAGTGTGACTGAATATCAGAGGGAAATCTACTTTTTTTTACCTCATTACCTTTATTTCACAGCTATAGCTAGGAGTTATTTCCAGAACATATGTGTTGGTGTAGCTTAAACTTCCCAATAGTATATAAAAAAGTCCAAACTAGCTTCCCCTCGATCAGCTGTAACATTAAAATGCAGCTTATATTTTAGTGAATTCAAGGGCACATGTTTAGTTTTAACACTGGAGGAGGGGGCGCATATTGAAAATGGCGGATGAAGGTTTCCTGCCAGAGAATTTCTAAGGTCAAACACTTACATTTCTGCATTCTGATGAATTTTTATGCACCATTTTGTGCCTTTGCTACATCAGTTCAAGGTGGAAATGTCTTTAATTTTGTCCTCTGCTACTTTAATGCCTATGAATTAATCTGTAATCATGATACAGTATTATAATAGATATAAATATAACACAGGAGCAATTCTGCTGCATGATAGGTACTTTTATTTTTGATACGTTAAATACATTTTACTGATATTGCTTCTGTATTTATTTAAGTGACATTTTGACCTCAGGACTTTTACTTGTACTGGAGTATTTTTACTTTTCTGTTCCCAAAATATTTGTTTAAGTCCATATAATTGACTTTTTGTGATTTTAAAAATTAATTTAAAAATTTACATAAAAAAAATTAAATTTTAAATTGATTTTGAAATAAAGTTGAAAGTTAAACAAATAATTAAAAAAAATAGAATTTTAATTTTAAATTATTTTCAAAATAATTTAATTAATTTAAAAAATACTGCATTTAAATTTTTATTTTTTTTAAAAAGGTAACTGATGCATCAATAAATTTGTCTCACTGCAGCATATTGTATTGAAATGGATGATTAAAAGTCATCTGCTTGGTATTAACCAAGGTTATAAACTCTAGTCTCACCTGCTTTACAGATCCCTTTGCGCTCTGCGTCTGGTTTGTCAGCCGAGTCCTGGTAAACACACACCAGCCCCTCATCACACTTGCCCAGATAGTCCCACGTTCCTCCACAAGTCTCCCCCTCTGCTCTGGCACACACAGGGCAGCAGCCACACACGCCTGTCGTGACACCACCTTTACACTGCAGCTTCAGCGCCCACTGGGTGGAGCAGTGGATCTGCTCACAGGGCGGGCAGTGAAGGGTCTGAAGCTGTTGAGCTGCCCCCGAGGCCGTATCCAGTGGTGACCCCAACGCCCCCAACAAGGCACTCAGAAAGAAGAGCATCCACATCCTTGTTCGATCTGATGTCGTCCTGAGGTGAGAGCACCTGCCAGCACCTTTTATATACCTGGGATTACACAGTTTATGAGCCACAACCTCCACCCCCCACCCGCAGCCAATAGATGAGGGCAGAGGGGTTCTCACTTTAAATGACTGTCCCCACCTCTTATCTTCACACTATCAACACTGTGATTTTGTTTGGAAATAATTCCTCCTTTTGAACGCCTGTTAGATAAGTCTGATGAAGACTGGCCCCCTTTGTATTTGGAGTCACATGACCTCTGAAGGGGCAATTCAGTGCACACCTGCAATCAGGTAATGACCTATTTCTCCAAAGAACAAAAGGATTAAGACATCAGCGGGGTTATCTGATCAGGACATCTCGTAAGTCTCCTATCTCCGAATAAAAACTCAGACGGTTTGTGTACATAACAGTAAAAGATGGCCACTGTCACTGGAGATCTATTAAACTGGAGGTGTCAATATAAATGCTTTTTTCTTTTCATCTAGGCTCCTTTGTATAGGACGACACACAGCTGAGGAGTGCAGTAAGTTAACTCATAGGTCACACTGAAGGATTTAAGGCACAAGGTATTTTAACGTGATCAAACAATTGCTTCCTTAACTCAAACTAAATATTAAAAAAGCTGTTTTATGCCTTAAAAGTGAGGAAAAGCATAATGTAGCATTTCAATATGTAGAATCTTTATTCATGTTTGCAAAATATGCAACAGTCCCTGAAGGTCACATGACTAAAAATAGTTTTTAAAAGTACTGCAGGTGGGGGAGCCCTTCTGTGTGGAGTTTGCATGTTCTCCCTGTGTCAGCGTGGGTTTTCTCCAGGTACTCCAGCTTCCTCCCACAGTCCAAAGACATGCAGGTTAATTGGTGACTCTAAATTGCCCGTAGGTGTGAATGCGAGCATGAATGGTTGTCTGTCTCTATGTGTCAGCCCTGTGATAGTCTGGCGACCTGTCTAGGGTGTACCCTGCCTCTCGCCCAGTGTCAGCTGGGATAGGCTCCAGCCCCACTGTGACCCCCAAAATGATAAGCAGTTACAGAAAATGAATGATTACTGCAGTTTGTGGCAATGATAAACCCATCTCAGTGTTTAAAACATCATTAGCCTATAAAACTAAATGGAAAAATGAAGAGGCGTGTTCACCCCCAAAATACCACTTATTCCTATGATATTAAAAAAAGTTTAAAAAATAAAATAAGCACACACATTTTGATGATTTGTGTGGCTCTCGAGTTTTCCATTCTTAGGTTACGTGCTGTTAGTGTGATGGTTGCAGGCCTGTGTTAGGTTTTTTTCCCATCCATAACCAAACCTTTTCAAACATACCTAATGTTTTAATTTGAAAGAATGAAAAATGTTCCAATAAAAATCAAAAGCTCAAAACAAAAAAAGGGCAAAAGGAGACGTCTTTCGTTTCTCAGCTTGTCCCAACAGGCTCTTTTCACTGCAGACATTCTGACCTGTCAAAGCAGGAAAATCACAGGTGTAAATAATTACATTAACAGTGAGGCTTTCAGGGCCATTCAGTGATTTTGAGTTTGTACTTCGAACTCAAACTGTTGTTTTGATGTTGTGTTCCTTAAAAGACTTGAGCACATGAGCTTCAGTTGGTCAAGAGACCATTTAGTGGATATCATTTACTTTAAAGTAAGTTTCAGATTTTAAGGTATTCAAAGATAATTAAACAAACCCACAAAAATGCATGCTGACATGCAGGGTGGTTAAACACAGAGTTGAATATTCATGTTGAACTGCAAAATTAAATTTGAGTGACATCATTCTGACTGGGGTATAGCCTTTGTGTTGACAAAAAAAAAAACTGACTCAAAATCCACTTACTTACATGATAATTGAGTAAACAATGAGGACAGTGACAGGGTCAAAAGTACTTAAGTGAATGAGTAAGTGGCCTTTGAGTTGAGACAGACCTTTTTCACAACAGACATTTTGACATGTCATAGTAGGGAAAGCACAGGTGTATCCAATAATGTTAATGATAGCTGCATTACGCTAAGGGGAGGCCTAGTATTGTTCATCCTAACTGACTAGAATATCTTACTGGGACACTTGTTTGTATTAAGTGATTGTTAATGTGATAAGTTAAAGAAATAAATCAAAATGTTCTGAAATATAACCAGAGTTATGTATTTAATAATCAGCAGGAGGCTGTGACTCGTATAAAAATGTATTTATTTTCAAGGAAACCATTGAGTAACACTGAATACAACAGGAGTGATCATTCAATAGTCAATAAAACTTGTGACTCCTACATCATAAAGATCCCACATACAAGACGCCTTGGAAAACAAGATTTCAAAGCAAACATGTTGGCAATTTGCTGGTGCTACAATTTCATTTTTTTTTTTTAACCCCCCCCCCCCCCCCACATAACAAATCGAGGTGATACACACCTGTATAGAAAAGTGACAAGATTTTACATCAACTTACAAAGGGCTGGATGTCAAAGTGCAAGATGCCTGAACCCCCCCACCCCTCCCCTCATCAAAGAGGACGATCAAGGTGTCGAAATCAGAAATGGACAGTCAAATACAAATCTCCAAAATTATAATTCAGCCATTATGGCTTTGTATTCAGTTGAGACCCAAGTCTAGCTTACATTACATAGCTTTAAAATATCGTTTCAGAAACATTTTTTCTCCCAAAGAGACTGTTTTTTTTTTTTTTAAACTGCACCTTATTACAGACAACTGCATGTAATGGAGTAAAGCATCACAGGAATAATGCAGGCATACAACAGAAAAGCAGCTGTTCATCAACAACTTCAAACAAAACACACTAACATTTTGTTGGTCTATAAAAGCAACCGAGTCAAAGAATAACATACTAAAATCTGAAGTGAAAATAAAATGACTTAAAAACCTTGAAGAAAAAAAACTATGTACATGTATTTACAGGTAAATAGAGTGAATATTATACAGGTTTGACTGGCCTTTCGAGGTCAGGCCGAAGCCACCGAGGTCCATGTGATCCAACACTGCATGACATTCAGTTTTGTCAATCCAAAATGGTTCTTAAAAAGACAAAATACCTTCCAGGAAGCCGCCTTCAAAAGTCGCACTAAAAAGAAGCGAGCGAAAAGTGGAAAGTCTGTCAGTTTGTTTGTTCTGAATCTGGTGTGAGCGAGTAGAAAAACATCCAGGGCTTTTTGACGCAAACGTAACTTTCAATTTTTTTTGCATGATTTTCTTTTAAAAATAATAATAATTATAATAATGGCAATGTTTGCAAAGAGAAATCCATTGAATATATTCTTCTGGGAGTCCGTTTTTTTTTTTTTTTCCCAATGTTGATACCATCTTGAACTAAAAGACGAGGTCATCAGTCTGGAGGAAGGAGGTTGTGCAAACGAAACTGTTCTCTGATGTGCGGTCTGACATCTTCATTCTGTGATAACGAGAGAGAACAGATCAGAGACTAATAATAACTTTGTTGATGAAGAGGGACTCTAGTTTAACAGCAATGTGGGCAAACTGACAGTAACAAGACTCAAAAGTGACACACAGTATTAAGTCCAGTTCAGACCAAAGATTCTCGACAATAATAACATGTCAGTTCACACTAAAGCAACTAGATGAGACGTCGTATCGTCTCTATGCAACAACTCTCTGTACTTCTGTTCTGATTTCCAGCTTTTCAGGCTTATTTTGTGGCTGAATATAATTTGTAGCTTCTTAAAATATGAATGAGGATAGTGATGGTGAGATACTGGCTACAGCTGCATTAGTAGTGGTGATGAAACGGCAAAAAACAGAAACAAAACAAGCATCAGGTGGACTGTATTCATAATAAATACACCACAATAATATAAATAAGCAGCGCCAATTAGTTAGTCAATGAGAATATGTGTGTGTGAGGGGACATGAGCACATACAGCGAGCAGCAGCAGCGACCCACTATCCGACACCAGCACACCGTGAGCACTGAAACAGAGGGCTCGGCAGAGACAGAGCACCTGTCACAGCAAGCGAACACACCGTCTGTGGTTGACTTCACTACAAGCAGACTGGCTGTAGAAACAGGTGACATGTTTTACATTCTGAAACCATCAGCCAGCAATTTGACCAACTGAGTTGCAGGCGACAACATCAACCGGCTTGAGTCGAGCTCAGACTGGTCATTTCACACTGCTGCAACTTGTCTCTTTAACGTTCTAAAACTGTTTTGTCTCGTCGTGAATCTTTGGTCTGAACTGGGCTAAGATCCATCAGTGTCCAGACTAATGCAGTCCAAGACAACAGTCCTGCAATAAACCCTAAATACCTTCATGGTTATAATGGCGAGTTGAAACTGCTTTAGAGGGGTGTTGATTCAATTCCACTATCTTTCTGGAGGCTGCAGTTTGTGGTGCTGCTGCACTGTACAGCATTATACTGAGAGGTATTAGTATTATTTTGTCCACCACACAAATGGGTAATTAAATACCAGAAACACTTCTCATTTTAACACAACAGCAGCAATGCAAACAGCCTCCAAAATGATGATGCAGTCAAATCAACACCTCTCTATCAGCCCGTTGATACCTGGTATTAGTGAGTAGTATTAGTGATCTAAACACAAGTGGACAGCTGAGACACATCATCGTTCACACCTGTATGTATCATGCGTCTCCAGCTGACCACTTGTGTTCTGATTTTGTCACTGCTTTGTCATATACTGGAAGGTAAAAGGGCCCTGCACATGATTATTACGTCTACATCGTCATTAGCTGCTCGCCAGTCATGTTAGTGGTTGTGTCAGTACAGCTGGAGATTTTGCTGTCAGGCGAATTATAGCATCTAACTCATTGTTAAATGTGCAACCACCACGTCCTACATTTATGACATAGTCCTTGTCAGGGATGCACCAGTAAACCGCAGCGTTTACACTACAAAGACATGTGGTCAAATGCGTCCCCGACCACCTTAGCAAGTGGTTTGAGACATCACATCACAATGCACCTGAGTGGTCGTTTACACTTGTATTTGGTGCTATCCGCTTGTGACCATCTCGCCCAAGATGCATGTTAATACCAGGTATAAACAGGCTCTAAGACAGTTCAGTATCTTACAATGAGCTCAACACACACTGGACAGAAATATAAATGCAACACATTTGTTTTTGCTCCCATTTTTCATGATTAAAATCAAAAATTAAAACTATTTCTATGCACACAAAAGCACCGTCCCACAGCCATTAAAGAGGAGTGGGTCAAGAGGCCACAATCAACAACCTGATCAACTCCATGAGAAGAAGATGTGTCACATTACACGATGCAAATGGTACATTTGATACTGATTTCTATCTATGACCCATAAAATGCAGTTCTGTAGAGCTAGTCCTGTCAAGTCCTAATAAGGGTCTTTTTTTTACCAAGATAGAACTGCACATTTAGGAGTGGTCTTAGAGGCCGTTTACACGTTGCCGGCTATCTTCATAAACGGACATTTCACCGTCTCCGTTTTCAAAAAATTCTTCGTTTACACTTACCTGTGTATATATACACAAGAGCATGCCAAACCTGTAGGTGGCAGTGTAACGAGAAGCTCAAGCCTTCCATGTATCCATTGTCACCATAGCAACATAGGTCGCACTTTTGACACAGGCGCAAGTTCTGGCGCATACTGTGACGTGGGCTGCCTATAACTCCGTCTATCTCCGTTTATCTCAGTTTACATGCAAACGCGCAACCGGAGTTTTCCAAAATCTCCACTCTGGCCGGAGTTTTTAGAAAGACTCATTTTCAGAGGAGAAATCTCCATTTGCGTGTAAACGAAGGGCACAAATGAAGGAAGATGTCTCTGTTTATCAAAATCACCGTGTACGTGTAAACGGCCTCTTATACTGTGACCATCCAAAGCACACCTGTGCAGTAATTATGCTGTTCAATCAGCACTCTGATATGTCACACCTGTCAGGTGGATGGATTATCTTGGAAGAGGAGAGGTGCTCACTAACATGGATTTAAACAAATTTGCAACCAAAATTTGAGAGAAATAACTCTTCTGTGTGCGTAAGAGACTCTAAGATGTTTAACTTAAACCTGTGAAAACTGCAGCAACAAAAAGTGTTGCATTAAAATATGTGTTCAGTGTGCTTGGATTATTTTGAGGAATCTTTTAAAAAATATTCCTATGATCTTTGTCATCTGTAATAAATCTAAACCCTGTGACTTTATCCACATTAATCTTAGAATTCATCATAATGCAGTACGTTCTGTCGTAGCTGCTCAACACTGATGACATGTTTTTCTTACATCAGCTCTTATTATCTGTAAATATAAAAGGCGCTGTGTGTCTGTGCATCTAATCGTGAATCTGTCCACAGTGGGAGAGTAGGTGGATTAGTCACAACACACCACCGGTGGTGTTAAGGTGTCAGTCTAACTAGACAGAGGTTGAGATACATACCAGCTCCACAAGCTTCTCGAGGAAAGGAACAAGCTTTAGAAGCTCGTTGTCATTTCTATCCACAAACCAGCTCTCGATAGGGATTCCATTGGAGAGCTGCAACAGACACAGAAATCTGTGCTCAGATATCACGGTGACACACAAACACTGGCAGAAACAGCAAGTTTAAAAACAACTGGTTTACTGGTTGGTGTGAAAAAGTCGTACCTGATAGGCAAAGGCTTGGGGTGAATTGTCGATTATTATCGTCTTGGAAAGATCCCGTCCAAGAATGTTTAGGTCTTTAATATAATTTCCTTGAACACACACACAGTGCTCACGAAATAGCCTATGTCTAAAATGAAAAGAGAGAGAAAGAAAGACTAATGCAGTAATACAGCTTTACAACAAGATCTTCACAAGACAAACAAAAAGAACTGATAATATCCCTGTAGTGGAATATTTAAAAAGGCCATATTGACTTAAAATAATCCTCATTTACTTTAAAAAAAAAACAGCACAATTAAAGAAGAAAGAAACTGGTATAGAAAAGGGCGACTTCTTCACCTCTTCATACTGACTTTGGCACTATCCAGATATGTCTGCTTTTTGTTAGCAAAACAGGTTCCTCTCATTTGTTTATTTGACTAAAGGAAGAGGAAGTTACTGCTGCATCCACCCAGACTATTGTACAGACTGTATTAATGGATGGAGATTTATTGAGACGTCAGAGGTGTGGAGGAGATCAGAAAGCACGGGTGTGTGTGGAGGATAAACAAAAACATCAGTGCATATATTGATGCTTGTTTCACTGTTGCTACGACAAGCAAACTTGATTAACTTGAAAACCAGCAACAGCACTATGCAAACATCCAGAAACATCCATTACAAAACACACCCACGACGAGGAAGTCACAATGAGGGAGGAATATTTGCTGTCAAGCAAAAAAAAAGATTTTTATTTCCTCATCTATTTGTCAGAAAAAGAAAGCGAAGAACTCAAGCTTTGAGTGATGACATGTTTCACTTCTCGAGGCTGTGTGTGTTCTGTGTTGCTGTCCCTTTTCCCTCCACTGTAGATCTGTCCAGGTGTGCTGCATTACTTAATGATGTGCATCACACCTGGCATGGAGGAGGTGTTTAAGAGCTCCTGTGCCAGCAGCAGAGGAGAGAGGCCTCTGGTGTGGGGACTGCTGGTCCTGCTGCCTCTTAGCCTGGGATTTTTGTTGTCTTGTTTGCTTGTTTTATTTGTAATAATTCCCCTGGCTTTGAGTGTTATAAAGGTGTCTTATGTGGTAATTTGGGTCAGTGGTGGAGTTTTGTTTGCCCCATTGGGCCACTTAACGGTGGGGCGTCTGTACAGTAAGGCTGGTCAACTTTCCTGGCTGAATCATGCATGATAGGGCTGTAACAGTTCCTGTATTCATACTGGACTGATGCACGTAATGTGGTACTAACGTGGAACCAAAATTCACAAGCACAAGTTCCGCCTGGATATTTTTAGCCTTACGCCCTTAGCAACATTTTGAGGTTAGACAACAAGCTGATTGGTGTGTGGCAGAGTTGTGTATAAGACAACAATGGTGTGTCTGCACTGCTCAGCCATTAGAGGAGATGGGAATGGAAACACATCGTACATGCTAAGATACATTTGCCAGCATTCAATGACATCACTCAGATGTGCCAATCACCAGGATGATTCATGTGAGCGCTCTGAATGTTAAAATTCAGCCACAGTGGAACTAACTGTAACACTCCTCCTCATCCACAAGTTTTGCTTTTACTTTTATTTCTCTATTTAGTTTGTATTTGGATATATAATGAAAAAAGTTTACCAAAGTTGCCAATGGGAAAAATGTTATCTCATTAACAAACCCAGCAAGAGGATTTCGTCTGTCTTCACACTTCTGCTGACTGTTCGAAATTGATATTTTGTTTTTTATCTGCTATACTGAACTTGCACCAAAGTGACTTCTGTGCACCGTTACACCCCGACTCGATAGCAAACTAGTTCCTCTAGCTTTATTGTGGTTGCGCTTGTACATCCTGTTAAAATCTGAGCTGACACTTTAATTTCCTCCTCATCTCTACAACTAACTCGAGGCACATTCACACAGAGTGTTAAACACAATATTTATCATAAAAGCTACTTCAAAGTCTCGTGTTGTCACTGACCTGACCAACTGTTTCTTCGGATCCAGGATGTTGAGCAACTTGTCAGCGTACACTTTCTTTGAAGCGGTGAAGAGAATAATCTGAAATTGAAACGGACAGCAGCAATAAATGAGCAACATGTAAACCTTAATTTGAACAGAAACTTTCTGGAGTCTCTTGGAAATTGAAGCTGCATCTCACCTCATACATTTGAGACATGCGCTCAAGAAACTCACGGAAAAAGGGCCTCAACCGAACATACACCTTGAGATTAAAAAGTAAAGAAGAAGAAATTTAATCACCACAACAAGTAAATAGAGACCTCTAAATTAGAGAACAACATTTAATAGTTATTACCTGGTATATTACATCTTGAAAGAGCACAGGGAATGTCAGGGCTGCATCTTCTAGCTCATTCAGACTACAGTGCACCAGAGTTTCGTCCTGATGACAGAAAAAGAAGGGAAAAACCAATTACAGTCAATGTACTTTCATTATGTTATATATAGCAAGAAACGGTTCACTGCTTACCAGATCCAAGACGAGAGAAAACTCTGGTGTGCTGCGTGTTTTCAAAGGTAGCGCTGGTTTGCGTGTTAACTGCTCTTCTGTCAGCGGAGGCACGTGCTTAATGAAGAAGTATCTTAAAGCAGAGAGACAGTAAAAAAGGCTCTCATTTAGTTAATCAATTACCCGACAAAAAGCAACACTTTTACAACAAGGAAAGTTTAATGTTAGTGTTGTTAATCCAGCTGAAATATTAAGAGGTAAGAGCACAGAGTCTGTCTTGTCACCACTAATTTAAATACTGCAAAGGTCTGAAAAGATTTAAATAAGTGTTTAAATATTTAAAAGATGAGTGAATCAGCTGAACTGTTATATAATCTTTAGTCTCATGATGTACAGTAGTGGTGTAAACATGCTGTCTCATGACATCAGAGGCTCACAGTCCTGTGTTTGCTGCCATCTAGTGGTTTAAAGTTGGCAGCATGTAATGTCACCTTGGATGTGAGATGACATCTGATCACAAAAAGCTCCTTATTTTTGCTTGACAACTTATTTTTAGAATTATTTTTAATAAACACTGTTGTTAAAAGCTGCTTACAAACCAACTTACGGATCAAAAACTTCCCATTCCTCTTCATACGTTGTTTCTGGAGGAGCTGCAGGTAACGGATCTTGGTAACCACCGTCTGGCATACAACCAGGAGCTGATCGGCAGAGAGATGGAAAAGGAGTTAAAATATTATGTTCCTGAGCAACAAAGAGTCAAAGTTATGACTAGGGCTGTGGTGGCATGGATTTTTTGTTACTGCAGTGACTTATTTAAGAGCATTATGTGCGTGTACATCATAAATATAATTGTATTTAACTGTATAATTCTCTGGTTTATCAGTGTAGTGTCTGAACAGCTCCTCAGAATGGCCTCTCTATTCACAGCTGACTCATATGAACAGTCCACTGCGGGTTAAATGAGCATCAGCAGGACCGTGCCATCTCATTCGCTTTACTTCTCCTTGCAGTTCTTGCACTTACACAACTGAAGTTACATCCAGTGACTTCAATTAGCAGTCCGCTCGCTCACCAGAGGAACTCCAGTCTCAGCCTTTCACTGTGGCACAGCAGCCTTCAGTGTAGATGGGCTATTACTCGTGACGTGTAACCAATGAGACAATGCTGTCACGGGACACTGAGTGAGGCTACAGAGTGGTGACTGCAGACAGAGGGGCTGCATCAGAGCCAAATCAGCATTTTTTTTCAATGAATTTATTGTATTTATATTTTTAAAAAAAGCAGTGCTGACCTCGTCACCGTAGCAGTGCCACATGACCACAGTGACGCACTTATCGTCACAGCCCTAATCATGACGTCACATTCAGATTACCCTCTGTTCCACCAGCTTCTGAACATCAATATCTTATTCACCAACTCTGTCATCGGTCTGTCGTGAAGCCTCTTCCTGGGATTTACTGTCCATAGTCACGAGACAAATCAGCAGCACTTGCTATTAGAAGTCGAGGGAGAGGCTGCGACATGTGACTGGAAGTTAATGTCGCGGTTTCTGTCTCAGTTTCAGAACCTTTACACCCCATAACGTTTACTCACAATGGTCCAGAGCTTATAGGGAAGGCTGTTTGTTAAAGGCTAACTAACTTTCACTACCATCTTTACCTAAACATATGGACACTGCTGAGAAAGGCTCTAATCCAAGGCTGGATTTTTAGTTTTCCAACTAATGTCAGTGGGATTCTGAATGAGGTTTTCTTACTTCTGAAACGGGACCTGAAGTTTCACTTTCACTTTGGCTCTCTATTGTTGAATTACAAAGCTGAGCGACAACCATGTTAACAGTTTGACTGTTAACGACACAGAGAAAACCCAACTTGAGAGCAGTGTCATGTTTACAAATCTGCATGGCCAAAAGAAGATTAATTTGATTTGACATCCTACTATTGTAAACTCCACCCATCCGATCATCAAAGCAGGTTAAAAATAAATGACAACTGTTAGTGTTTATCTTCTGAAAGTCAAGAGAGTTTCCCACATTAAAAAGAACCCGCACAGTTTCTCTCTGACCATTGACAACTCAAAAGTCCGTCCATCCCCTCAGGTTAGAGTCCGGGTGTCATCCTGGACACTACACAGTCCTTTGAAGCCCACATCAATAATGTCACTCAGTCTGCACAAATTTCATCTACGAAATATTAATCGTCTCCGCCCGTCACTTACACCTCAGAGCGCTGCTATCCTTGTTCATTCTTTGGTTACATCTTATATTGATTATTGCAGTTCTGTCCTCTTTGGGCTCCCTCTCAAGTGTATTCATAAACTCCAGTTGGTCCAGAATTCAGCCGCCAGTATCATTTCTACCTGTCTGAACTCCTACACATCTACACACCCTCCCCTACTCTTAGATTCTCTTCTGCAGTCCAACTCACATCACCATCTGCCCGCTTGACTACCATGGGTTCTAGCGCCTATAAATAAAATGCATTATAATTATTATTGAGAGTGGTCGTACCTGTTAATGGCGGCATGTCAGTCTCTGTGACTATTTCTCCTTCTTCTATGGTTGGATCGGAGGTAATCTGAAGCCTCTGCGGTAACATCGGGGCAGGGTGACACGGAGTGATGCCCTCTGTGGATGTCAGAGTGCTGCTTGGCATTTCTTCTGCCGGCTCGATGTCCAGCTGTTTCATGATTTCTTCTGCCTCCACCGCTTGGCCAGGAGAGTCTGAACCAGGAGTGGCTACATACAGATGACAAGAGCGGTCTGTCAGTCAGTTTGGTCACACACCACAGAAGAACATTTAATTATTCCAAAACATTTCTGACATTAATATTAAAGCCATCTTTTATATTACCAGTTTTAGTTGCTGGTGAGAAAAAGTTGAAGACTGGAGAGAAGATGGTTCCGAGCAGGGTGGTGCGTGGTGGGCTGCTTGCTGCCTCGACGGGGACCTCTAGTTTACCGTTTGGTTTCATGGGTTTACTGTTGCAGGTCATAGTGTCTGAAAAACAACATCACTTTAATAACAACCCCAAAAATGTCTGTACAGATTTCTGTTTATCTGTATATGGTTTCTTTTTTTTTGGTTAAAGGCTTATGATTTGTACGCTGCAGTGAAGCTGAGACATTTCTTTTACAACACTTCTTACTGGGTCTTAAATACCTTTATTTGGACTTTTTCGGCAAACTCTGGAGACTGCTTTGTTGGTAAGGCCTCTAGTCTGTGGTGTTGAAGTAATTAGATCGCTCTCAGAATTACAATCAATACGACTCCTCTTTGCAGGGATGTCCTGCTCCACCTGAGGAAAATAAAACCAGAGATACAGAAGCGAGCACTACTAGATTCAGCATGTTGTATTGATGTCGGAGCTGGTGCAGCCCGTCTGTGAATGAAATCACTCTGGCAGTTCAGGCCAGTGCACCACAAGGGAAACTAAGACAAGCAAAGCAAACAAACAACTACAGTCAAGAGGGTATAAAACAAACTTTCTGCACTAGGCAAGATTATTTTTTTGCCATTAAGCCCTTAGCAGAAACAGTTTGTACTTGTTATGTTATTATGTTATTGGTAAATATGTTCTTTCAACACTGGGTTGTGTTGTTAAAGTGCTAACTGGCTAACTAGCGTCTTGACTCCGTCCTGTCAGTCTTCTGGTTTCCCTCAAATACAGACGACTGCTGCCTGCTGGTAGGGAGAGTTATTTCCTCTCATGCAACCGCAGAGCGCCCATACTAGTTGGTCGATGGCTGTAGTTTTTGCGGTGTGTTCAAGCACAATATTTTGGCCGAGACACAGCGACATGAGGCAACAGTCAGTCGCCTTTGGCACTAGTTCTTTTATGTAGGTTTGGTGTGTCTGGGCCTTAAGACTCTGCACTTTATTATAATGAGAACGCCAATTAGTAGTGTTGTAGGAAAAAAGTAATGATAGCAAATAAAATCATGATACCATTGTGTCTCAGTCCACATCTAAAAAGAAATGTACTAAATTTAGAAATTATGTAAAATTATTTTTTTCCACCAAACTTATTTGATTTTATTCTGTGCGCAGGAGATGATAATATCATGGTGTTTCACAGAGTTTGTAGAGTGCAGGGAAATAAGAGACGTATTTAATTTTATTCATTTCATACTCACTCTGCATCTTTTTTACTTTGAGCTGCTGCACCCTTTACTTACATTCAATTTCGACTGTGTTGAAAGAGTCACAGAAATGTTACAAGGTCCGACCCAGTATGATTGTCGTTAAGACTTTCATGTAAAGCGACTCAAGTGATATTTAGACACCCAAGTAATGAGAACCATGTCTGAAAGTGGCTCAAGTAAAAAACAATTTCATTAGTGGGGAAATGTTTTGCTTTAAGAGAAATGCTCTCAGCCTGCTCTATTTTTTCTGTTAAAAACAGACACTATGGGGCTTTACAGTTGGGAATTACCATACCATTAATCATTATAATTCATAACAGCTGTCACAATGTAAACAGCGGAAGTTCAAAGAAACTTAGTGAGTAGGAAACAATGTTGGCTGTGTTGAGACTTTCTGTCAGGAAACTTAAAGCACTCCTCGCTATTATGTGTGAGTCACTGTTTCAAATTATCAGCACAAAATGCAGCTGAGGCACTGCTTTTCTCTGCATTAAGCAAGAGAGTGTGCTCCCACGTGTATCATTATGTTACAGCGGCAAACACAAAATGGTAAAAGAGCAGCTGGGAATCTTAATGTGAGCTCACCTTAACAGCATTTCCACGGATGAATTTCTTTATGGTGGAGAACAGGCCTGTTTCATTCTTCTGCATCTTGCCTTGACCTCTCACCGGAGATGGCTCCACTTCACGGTGTTTCCGCTTGGCCTGGGTCGGGTGGGTTCGGCGGCCTAAGTTTAGCTGCTGAGGAGCTTTACGCACTCTCAGCCTCATCGTGCTCCGACGTCACATAGAAAAATCTGACAAGAGGGAAAGGAAAGTTAAGAAACAATGCTTAAATGATGACGGCAACACCAAACACAGCGGCCTGAACTTCTTGAATGTTACAGGGTGTTACAAGCAGCTTTACAAGAATATTCCCTAATTAAAATCAGCTAAAAGTTTTAATTAAAAGGAATACATCATCCCCCAAATGACAATTTGTATATTAATAACTTACCCAATGCTACGTTTAATTCGTGAAGAAAACTTGATTGACAAAAACAGTAATATTACCTCACTGAACTCGGGAGCTGCTGATGTACCGCTGCCTTGATAGGCTTTTTGTGTAACTCTGTGACTTTGCTGAATCTGAACTAACTAAAACACCAAAGTCACACAAACTAACTGACCAAGGCAGTGGTAGACAAACAGCTCTTGTGTTCAATGAGGTAATATTTCTGTTTTGTCAATGAAGTCTGGCTTTATAGAGAGCATAGATATGTTTTACTTATACTTCCCCGTCGAAAAGTCCTGTCTGTTTGGGAGGAACTGATCATACTGGACTAAATGAAACTTGGTTTGTACTGCACAATAGCTTTGCTGTTTAAACCTTTGAACCTTGAGTAAACTGGTGCAATTTCTTTCAAAAACCTGGGGGGTAGAAGGCAATGAGCAACTTGGTAAGAAATATCCCACAAATTGCAAAAAGTTAATAGATTTAAAAAAAACTATCTAAAAATAGAAGAAGAAGAAAAGGTAGGGAAAAATCAACAGTTATATAGTTGATTATATAATCAACAGGTTAACAAGATAACTTGGTCAATACCGAAAAAGTTACTAGGCTTTGATACCCAGCCCTGTACACTGCATGTTAAATTCATTGATAGTTTAACTAGATTTCAATTCAACTTTTCAAAAGATATGTGGTGATTTTTATACATTGATATATTGATGTTTTTAGACATTTTTTGCTCTCAGTTTAAAAAGTAGAGACAATAATTTCATGGCATTATTGTTTTTCTATTTTTAGCTTTCATGTAATGTGACTCAGTGAGTCATTAACACCAACGCCAAAAAATATTACAACACTGACACCCTTCATCAGCCTGGTCACATTACATGAAAGCTATTGAAACAAAACATCTAACTTCTAAAACAATACTTTCATACAATAGTAGAAGAGCCGTACTGACTGAATGGAAGCTACTGGAATAAATGACATTATTTTCTATAAAAAATATGAGTAAAATAAATGTATTACGTTTGAGAAATCAAAATGAGTGAGCTACATTAAACCAGTTTAATACAACTGTTTGATCATAATCATGCTGTAGCTTCAGTCTAAATGTTACGATCAAGTAAGGATAAACTCATATTTCACTGGTTGCCACGGTTACTTAACAAGATCATAAGTAAGTTTAGGGTACAAATTATTAATGTACAGTACGCCAAACAGACCGGTCAGTGGAGCAGGCGGTGCAACTTAGGTGATAAACTACATTATCAGAGGCCTTTAATATGTTCAAATTAAGCTGATGTTTAGTAAACGCTTTATATAAGCATGTTTGGTGCATTATGCTGCAGCTTTATTATCTACCTGTTGCTAAATCATATCTGGTAGCATATCAGCATCGCTGTCTGTCGTTATGTAACATTGGACAGGCTGTATTAACACCAACGACGTCAGCTAGCGCCGTTAGCCAGCTGCTGGTATTTAGCATCAAAAGCCAAGTGTACAGCCACCGCTGGTTTGACGCTGGTGCTCAACACACGTTAGGACAAGACTGTGCGTTAATGTGCCAACATCTGGCACCTATCCGCTGAACATACCTGCTATCAATATGACTGTGTCTTAATGTAACTTAAACCAGATGCTGTCAGTGGGTTCCGCGGCTAGTTAACACAAGCGGCTACAGTTAGCTTCCAGGCTAACAAAACGCCAATGGCAGCAAAAGCAAGGCCGTGACATTATTCACTTCAGCTTCCACAGCACGTCTCACATGTGTCCCCGTGAACATATCTGTGTTTAACATGCAAACTATACATCTATGCATCGGTAGCATAAATCCATTTATCAGCTAGCTATGCTGTTGCTAGCGCGTCATTTAGTTCGCTTCCATAATTATTTTCAGCCGTTAGACTACGCCCCCTTCGCTGGCTAACGCTAGCCACTAGCTAGCTAGCTAACAGCAGTCGGGCTACCGGGGGGGGGGGGGGGGGNGGGGGGGGGGGGGGGGGGGGGGGGGGGACAAACATTTTTTGTTTACATGTTGACGCCGCTCGTTACTTACTGACGATCCAGGGAGCTCTTCAAAACTTGCCGCAGCGTTGTCAGCTCTCGGCCACGACCGTGGCGGCCACCGGTGGAGGTGGAGCCGTGGTTGTTGCTGCCAGCTGTGTCTGTCGCTCGGTAGCTAGTCAAAGACCAAACATGTCTGCGGACGCCATTTCCCGCCTCATCACAAACATAACGTTGGTGGTGCGCAGGGGAATGCGACACACACACGTAGGAGAACCAACGTGGCGGAGTCAACAGAAAAAAGCCTCCGATGCGTGTGCGCAGCCTGACTGAGACTCAACACTGCACTTTATCCCTGCTGGTATTGTTGTGCGACTACAAGGAGGCTGTAAAGAATGTAAAGACTGCTGCAAACAATCACCACAGCAGTTACATTATCTGTAGTGTGTGTCACACATTAAGAAGGACAACACTTTTTGGCATCTTTTTGCCTGAAGAGTGCCAGAAGTTCTTACATGTTTGCAGCCATGTTTAACATTGTAGTGATTGAAAATTAAAGTGCATAACAATTAACATTGTTTTTCTTTTAGTTTTCAGTCCAATGCAGCTGAAAGAGCTCATGTGGGAAACTGCAGATAAGAGATTTAAGTTGGCTGGTGAGCAGCACTGTGATTATAAACTGTTACTGGAATATCAAACTGAGTATACAAACAAGCAAATATGTGAGGGGTCATCTGAATTTCATAGCTTTTTGCTGTATCCCAGCTGTCCAAACTTTACACCAGCAAAGAAGAGCATTTGAGACACATTGTGTATTCAGCTGCATTATTAAGAAATAGATATTCACTAAATCAAATTGTGAAGCAAATTTCAGGCCCTGGAGGGATGAAACTTGCTTATGAAATGAAGTGGCTGCCTGGAGGGCAGTCACAGCCAAACTACCAATCAACTTGCTGCAAAAAGGTCTCTATCAGTGCCTCCCTGAAGTGGAATGCAGCTATCATTGATGTTATTAAATACACCTGTGCATGGCATGTCAAAATGTCTATCCTGGAAGTCTATCCTGAAGATTTTTGACGACTCAAAGGCGTCATTTTTCAATCTGAAAACAATACTGCAAAACTATGGGAATTTTCAATAATGTAAAATAAAAGAATTGGAGTGCAGTTAATATGCTTGGACATGTAAAGACATTCCTAACATCCCTTTCTGCTACAGCACCAGAGTCAAATGGGTGGTGTGCATTTACAGCCAATTTAGTAGAGTAAACATTACACATTTGAATGCAGACCATGTAGAGTCGGCCAGTTGTACACCAACTGCAGATTGTGCTCTGAGGCCTAAAGAGAACATACCAATCAGGGACCTCAAAAAGCAAACAATAAAATATAAAAATCACAGCATAATTAACTCAAATATAACATTCAGTGTTTCAGTAATACCAGCAGATGTAAAATTCCACAAAGTGCAACAAGACTGAAACTATACTGAGTATATATTTATGATTTTTCAGCAACAATTTCACTTTGTTCTTTAACAGCGTAATTAAAGATTCATAAGTGTACAGAGTCATTTAAATGATTAAAGAGTAATAATTTTAAAAATACAATCACAAAGTCAGCAGTGACTGTATAACCACCAAGATGTTATAACTCAGTTAAGCACTCAGAAAAATAATCACTATGTACCAAACTCTATATCTGACATTCATGTTTACGTGTAAGAAAAGCACTTGTGGTCGTTTCCATGTTAATGGTCGACCCTTCCCAGAAGACAGTGACTCATACTAAAGGTTTGGTAGCACAAATGATTGACATAGTACTATGAAAAAAATACATTTTCACAGACTGGATGCTTTAGCGTTTAAAATGGAGACAACCAAAATCCTTAAATGGCAAAATAGTACACACACAATAACTGACCTCCACCAATACACACAATCTGTAGTGGAGCAATCTGAAAAAGAGCACATCGTACACTGTGATTAATGAGAATAGTTGTTCAATAATCCTATGTGAAAATTAACAAATAAAATTGGATGCAAGTGGGCAACATGGATTATATACCATGCAGCAAGAAGCTGAATAAACCTTGGAAGAACCTGGCCAACCCCAGTAAGGCTGTGGGACTCAGGTGAAACCTACTGGCTTATAAAAGTATAGTGGTGCACCTACAGTAGGGTTGCAAATCTACAAACTTTTGTTCTAGGCTCCAATAAAAATCTCATATCTGCTTGGATAATGGGGTTGGTGAAAGCAGCAAGACATTACATTCAATGAGCCGCAAAAAAACACAAAACATTGACCTCTAAGCAGCTAGAAGTTCCACACAACAGCAGAATTAAAATTTAAATCTCACTTTGTTTCTGCTCTTTCTCATTACAGGGAGTCATTTTATTCCATGTTAATATCAGCGCACCACTTACAGCAGATTTAATGTTTCAATATTCATGATAACTTGATCGATCTTCTTGTGATTAGTCTTGATGTCCAGGCCATACATGTTACCCCTGTACGGACCCCTTTATGGTGAATTTAATGTGCTACGTCTTTGCCTAAAAGTTTTGGGAATATAACTGTTATCCTGCAAACTGATGGTGAGGTTTCATTTCATCCCAAGATGGAAGAGTTTCCTGAATGGTCCTGGTCCGCCCCACAGGCCCCTGACAGAAGGAAAATAAACAGACCATTAATGAAATGTGATATGATGCATTACAACCAACTGTTAAAGCTGGAGTGCAGAACTTTTGTCTGCTACATCTGACAGTGAGAGTAATTACAGAAACTACAACATGCTTATCACCATAGACTGTGCAAATAATGGGTGTAACCGTGATGTCACCCAGTGGTTTGTGGACTCCCATTTCTGATGGTCGCCATCTTGGAATTTTTGAGCCAAAAGTGACCCTATCTGGACGTGAGGGTAGAGATAATCCTTACACTAGCTGCTAGCTTGATCAGCATGGTGCATTGCTGGGGAGATGTCCAACTCCCCAGCAACATTTTCCAGCTTCCCCAAGGCATTCCCAGGCCTGTTGAGATATATAAATCCCTCCAGTGTATTCTGGGTCTACCCCAGGGCCTCCTATAAGTGTCACATGCCCGGACCACTGACAATGCTAATGCTAATTTTTGCTAGTGAACAGGCTTTAAACCATCAAAATAAAATGTACGCATCGCACAATCTAAACATATGACTCCTGAGAGGGTCTTTAAGTGCAACCAAATGCTAAACAAAAATTTTTTAGACAACCAAAATGTTACATTATCTTTCATCAACTGAAAAAAAACAACAACAAAAAAAAACTTAAATAGCCACAGCTACGGCTATACATTTACTTTAATTATTATTCTCAAATTTATTTTATTATTATAACATTTAAATAGTGAGTTTTATAAAAATGTACCCCCTTACAGTTGTCAGGAACAGATAAACTAGCTACAGAGACCAAAACTTTTTATTTCTGCTGTAAGTTGAACATTTTAACATGGAGGTCTGTGGAAACTGACCCACTCTTGGAGCCAGCCTCAATGGCCATTCAAGGAGCCGCAGTTTTTGGCACTTCAGCTTTGGCTTCATTTCTCAGACCAGCAGGTTGCTGCCTGCTTATGACACATTCCTCTGGCCTGCTTCCCCATCTCCCCCACCCCACCTGAACACTCTCTTAAAGTCTTTCTCTTATTTTATCCTTTCTCTTAGCGCCAAGTTTCTTTTATATTCGGAGCATCAACTCCAGAGACTTCTTAGGATTTTCCACCCCAGCTTCTGCCATACTCCTAGCCGCTGCTCCGTGGCTATGGTCTTTCCCTCCTTACTTTCCCCTTTGGCTCCTGTTAGTTCATGTAAAACACATCGCTTTCATTGTCCCAGCTTGGTAAATGTTACCGTAGACAACTCCAGTATATGTGAAATAAGGAGAGCTTTCCCTGGTGGCTTAATCAGCATTGTGAGAGCTCGTCTGGTAAGGGCTTAAATGTAACAGACGCTCATTTAAATGTAAAAGTACCGCACTCCAGCTTCAACATGTTATTGGTAAGCCTATAACCGTGTACATACCGTAGAAACCCATGCCAGTAGAGGATAGGCATCACATCAGCTTTCATGTGGTACATGAGTCTTCGTTCTTTGGCTTGGTTGATGGGAAATGTCTCAAGGGGTTGTCCATTGTAGTCAAACTCTGCCAGAATGACTGTGTTGTAGCTTGTGACCAACGGACACGAGGTGTAGCCATCATACTGTGAACAAGGAGGTTACTCATTATGTATATGCACATTTTTTTTTCAACAGAGAACAAATATGAATAAGGTCTGATGTTAATGTGTCACTTACTATTTTATCTGGCTTCTCATTTTTCAGTACTTTGCTGATGGTTCTGTTCAAGACGGCACTCTGTGCAGCTGAGAATGAGAAAACAAATGATAAGCTCTTTGAAATGAATGTGTTAGTTTTCTTTTTAGGAATCAAGAAGACTTACACTGTGTCCAAAATCCATCCTACATACTAGTTCTGTGCAGTGAGTACTACAACTGTCACAGTTGTAGCAGTAAGCACACACACACACACACACACACACACAAATCAGCATACTTTACACTGACAAAATGACACAAAATGTCCATCAAACTGTGACTTTGAAATGTTTCTGCAAGTCAAACTTCACAAATAAAAAGCAAAGTGCCATCCTTTAGACTCATTACTTATTTTTGTTCTCCAAGATCTTTGTGGAGATGCATCACCACCATCTACAATTTATTTTAGCATCCATCTACAGCACCTTTCCAGTGTGAACATACTATAAAATAAAAATCTGCTTAGAATCAATATGTAGTATGGATCTGGGGCACACTGTAGAAGTTTAGAGACCAGAGGGGCTGTAGTAAAACACAAAGGAAAGGAAAATAGTTTGAATAAAAAATGGTAATGTAGCTATTCTTTGGTGCCCTACCACTAGTGTGGCAAATAATTTAAAGTTTAACATTTAATGGCGTAAAAGAAAATCCAGTGTTTTTTTTTACTATCCATACATGCATGTTCATTATCCACTTATCATGTGAGAGGGTGCATGGGGCCTGAGGCCTCTCCCACCACACACTGGGAAAGAGGCAGCGCACACACTGAAAAGGTCAGTAGTGTATCACTGAGGTGGCACACATGTACAAACACTCACACTCGTGGAGGATTAAGAGTTGCCATTTTACCTAGCAGATGTGTCTATGGACTGCGGACCCAGAGGAAAACAGGGCGAGCATGCAAACTTTACATCAGCGGCACAGTGCAAAAATCTACATGTGCCGCCTGAGTGGGCTTGAAGATCTTCTTACTGTGAGGCAACAGTGCTAACCACGAAACCCCCGTTTTCACCTAATCCAAAATGTATCCTCTGTAGCCACGATTTTTTTAGACTTAGAGTGCATTAATTTTCATATAATCCATGTAAAATGTGTGTTGGACTTCCCATGAGTCAAGAAGCAAACAACTGAGATGACTGACCGAAGCAAACTAAGTGAATTTGGTCTACATTCTGCCCAAAGCATTTTATGTATTTTAAAGGAGAAGGCTGTAACAGCAACATATTCTTTTATTGGATGAGACTAGCATTTGATTTATAGTTAAACTGATGTACATACGAAGTTTCATCAGTAGAGGGCTCACTGAAGTAGGGCATCAAGGGAAAAGGTGCTCAACAGTCATCCAAGCTCTAAGTGGTGAGCCTCAGCTGTTCTTTAAGCTTGCTTTCTAAAGTGGCATACTGTGTTAGCAAGTTAGTCATCTCTATAAAAAGATACATGCCAAAGTATTTAGAATTTGTAGGCAACGGGACAAGATTTTGTTTACTTTAGTGTTCTGGTGTCCATTTGTACTCTGAGTAGTACTGACCAATCATGGTTGAGCTGCACGTAAAAAGTCAGTGTGGAGAGGCAGAATACATTGACTGAAATGCAATCTTAGATCACACCGGCTATCGTCTGCTGATGACTTCGCCTTAAGAGCTTTTTTAAATGTATCTGTATTCATATGCTGATATTGTCATATTGATTAGCTGAAATGACCAGCGCTAGGAAGAGAAGGTCTTGGCCCAGGTATCTGCTTGCTACGCTGGATCTCCCATATTATTGGCCACTGGCCCCCGAGGCTTTTCGGCATCAGACCAACAGTCGATTGATTCTGAGACTGTCATGTTCATAAAGTTAACTTTCCTGCACTAAAATGTTAGCAAGAATTAAGTTAGCTTGTTCAACATGCTTAGGTTAAAATGTTAAAAACACAACATTAGCTTTAAAGGTCTAGTGTAGGATTTAGTGGCATCTTTGGTGAGATTACAGAACTTAAACTTCTCCCATATGCCAAGCTTGTAGGAGAGCGACAGTGGCCAATGTGAAAACATGACAGACTCTGTGAGAAGAGGATCCACACCTTCTGTGTATAAACGGTTCATTCTAAGGTGACATAAACACAATGATTCTTGTTTTCAGGTGATTATAAATGAATGAAAACATAGTTATGAGAGACATTATTAAGGTATGGTATTTCACTTATGACTAGGTGTGTCATGTAGCATGACATACCTCGCACGAATACACTGAATCTAAACATGATGAGCACGATTAGGCTAAATTCTTTACTGCAGTCAGACTGCAGTTGTGCAAGAAGTCATAACACAAATTTACAACCTGATGCTATCATCAGTGATGTGAAATTGCCAGGAAATTCCCATTACTAACAGCTAACAGACAGGAAATGGCACAGACACAGTTAGTTTAAATTAGCCAGGCACAAAGGGTTATTTTTGTTCACCATATGTCTGCATCATGTGCAAAACATTTCTCAAATGTAAGGGTACACTCAAACACAAAGGTAAACTGAGATAATCATACAACATGTCAGATACCAATCATTAATGTCCCGACATTGCAAGCTTTATCAGGCGTGGTCTATGTTTTTATAGTCTTGTGTAAATACACAATTGTGCAATACACTTACTGAGGACAGTACGTTTCAAATTACAAAACCCACAAGCAGTTAACAAAAGATTTAAGTACAGGGACTGCATGCAGCAATAGAGAGCTTTCCAGTGTTGCGTTATTACAATGTTCACACTAATGACACAATGATCACCTACCGACAGCAGCGCCTGTTTTGGCTGTGGGCAGGTTGGTGCAGTCTCCAATCCCAAACACATTCGGATACCTGTTATGTTGGAGGTTGTCTTTGTTGACATCCAACCAGCCAGCCTCATCTGCCAGCGGACTGCCTTTGATCACAGAACAGGGTCCCATTGGTGGCGTGACGTGAAGCATTTCATACTAATAAAGACAAACAGCAAAGTTTATTTCCTATTTTGGCATATCTTTATGTGCAAAGGGAGAAATAATCTGTTCTTTATTAGGTTGTTCATAACACACAGACAAAAAACTAAGAATTTAAAGAGGAAGGAACACACACAGCACGTGATGGAATAGATTGTCCATTGTATGAAAGTTAATACTACACTACGATGTTGAAATTATTGTTTACTACAACAGTTTTACCTCCACCACACTGGTTTCGCCTGGCTTGTCGAGGTTTTCAAACACAGCTTCTTGCTTGTCTGCCCGCACTTCAATCAGATTTTGTCTCAGGTTCACTTGTAGGTCACGTTGTTTCACAATGTCCCACAATGAGTCAGCATATTTCTTGATCCCGAAGAGCACAGGAAGCGATGTGTTGTACATTACGTTGGCCTTTGCTCTTTTTCCTGTCTTGGATAGAAACATAAAAATACCTTGATTTAATTTGGAAAAATCACACTTGATAGTTTCAAATTGTACAACGTTTACATGACATTTGGAATTTTAAGTACTTTTCTGAGAAAGGCATCTGATAGGTACATGATCTTCTGTGGAGCTCCAGCACATTTCACAGGAGTGTTTGGGAAAGTGAACACAGCGTTGCCCTCTTTGAAGTTCTGCAGTGCTTTCCACGTTTTCTCCACGGTTTGGACCGAGTAGTTCGACCCAATCTTTGGATGCTCAAACCCCTCTGGCAATCCTTTGATCTGCAGCGTAGAAAAGCATACATTTCCTGGGATTTACTAACTTTATATACAATGGTACAAGTTTACTATAAATGAACAAAGCTTTATTTTACCTTCTCATAATGGAGTTGCATACCGAGAGCCACAATCAAATAGTCATAGGTGATCTGTGATGTGAAAGAAAGTAAATACTCAGTGCCAAGCCAGTAGATGACACATTATTAAATGATTTTATAACTTCAATGCACACGGCAAACATACTTCAGTCCCATCATCTGTGCGGACAGTATTTGCGTCTGGGTTTATTTCCTGAACTTTGGATTTCACCCACTTCACTCCAGACGGCATAACACTCCCTGTGGGGCGACCTGATGAGGCTACAGTTTTTGCACCAGCACCAACCAGCGTCCATATTGGCTGATAGTAGTGCATCTGAAGAAAACATAAATGTTACTGTCATGTTTCTGAGGAGCTGAAACATAAAAATGTAAACACGAATTCACAATTTATAGCTTGTTTTGTCTTCTAGTGACACACAAAGAGAAGTGTGGGCATTAATTATCACAGTCTACTGGATCCTTGCCTCACTGGGCTCCACAACAGCTACATTCTCAGCCCCCATCATCCTCTTCATCCGTGCACTCATCGTAATGCCACCACTTCCTCCTCCGAGCACAAGCATTTTGTAGTGCTGCTTGGCAGAGGCACGGCTGCTCGTGTGAAAATGTGAGATAGCAATGCCCGTGGAGTGGCACTGCTTCAGACGACGCAGTGCAGCCATTCTTTGTAAAAAAAAAAAAAAAAAAAGTGTCAAGTCATTTCATTTGGCAACAATTCAGTGTCCTGGACTCAAAATAAATCAACATGCCCTTCTTATTATGCTGATCCACATTTACAGTCTGACAATTAGGAGGTAGAAAGGCAGTAGATTTGGCTTTTGGAGTCATGACTATTGTAAATAACCCAGGCAGCAATGTTTGGAGAGTGGCCTGGAGACAGTGTTCTGACATGCACTAATGATAAACAATGAGGTCATGATTTACAGCCCATAGCTTCATAGCTTAAACTGACATGGGAAAGCAAACATAACAGGAGCACATTCATACCGGTGAACTCTTCTTTAAGGTGACATGTCCTAACAACTGTAGGAGTACACGTTAGCATAATAAGGGCACCTGCTTTAGCTTGAGGGAGACACTCAGACTTTGTCAAATACTCTTCAGTCTCTACCCTACTTTGACAGATAACAGAGAGCCGCACAGCCGCATCATAGGTAATTTATTACACATAAAATGTAGATTATCTGGGGCGTTTACATCCTCTTCTGTGAAGCCTAACCTGAGCTCAACCGATGCTGCTGCATGCTGCGTAATCAACTGTCAGCGCCTCAGCACTGCAATGTAAGAGAATTCAACACTTGTTTAATACTCACCTTGACCACCACTTGTGTTCACCGCTCGTTAAACCGTCTGTCTCACCGTTAATTCCCTAAAAACCGACAGGAAATAGTCCCACTGGCTGTGACTCGGTGAGGAAGGCAGGACTTCCACAACCCGTGAGCGTTACCCCGACGTGAACTTGCCGTTGCCACCCCTGAAGTTCAGAATGTTCGTCCCGCCCCCTTTCACCTTTCAACCAATCAGAAGCGATCATTACTGTCAGTTTAAGGTTCCTGGTTGAACAAACGTTATTTAGCTAAACTTCATAACAACCGAGCCGATATCAGTCACTTTCACAAATTGACGTCCTCCAGGTGTTTTGTTGTATTAATAAGCTGTCGAAACAATTCCGCTTATCACAAAAAATGTGGATGTGGCTTCAGGCACATTAAGGTGGGCGTGTTTGGATGTTATTCCGCCCTGTCGAGTAGATTATTGGCTCTGTCTGCCAGCGCGTAGCCCTATTGTAGTGTACTGTAAACCATATTTAGGCTACAAAATAAACTTAAAGGTTTTGTTGTTTTCCTGTGTCTACAGGATGAATTACTGGCGAAACGGGCGAAACGGACAAGTGCAACTCTAAGTGGTGTTCGGAAATGTCAGATATTCCTGATTTACGTGAACGCAGCATGTACTGTCGCAGCACGCCCACATTGTTTTCTGTTTCACTGTAGGAGACTGGAGCTGTAAATGGAGGAGACTTTTGAGCAAGGAGCCCAGTGTCACTTCAGTTTACAACTTTTGGAAGTATTACCTGGTGTGATTTGAGTCCCATCTGGTTCTTTGTGCCTGTTTTATTGAGGGATCACAACTATGGCACTGATAATGGCTGCAGGCAGCATAAAACTGCCCCACCCTGTCTCCTCTAAATTATATTTATATTAGGCCTATCCAAGGTTCCATGAAGGAAATTAAGTATAATGGTAATGGCAAGGTTATATGACTGTGACAGTGTTTTTTCACAAACAGTTGTATCCATTTAGTACAAGAATAACCTACAGATCAAGTCATACAATAATATAAATACAAGACAGAAGAAACAAACAAACAGCTAATTTCTTATCCACAGATTCTTACTGTTACATTTCCTAAACGCACAGTGATAACTTTTATGTCTTAGTGGCATCTATAGCAAATGAGCCAACAGTTCATTAATCATTCATGTGGCCTGAAGAAAAATGTAATAATAAAAGTTTGTGATGCTGACAAATCAGAGCAATATGACCCGATATGATTCACAAATGTTGCCTCACTCTTCTCTGTCTGAACTTTAATATGTCTGTGTCCAAGGGTTGTGACATATCTGGACTCCAAGCAGCACTCACAGTGTTGTCATCTACTGCACTGATCATTGTCATTTTCTTAATCTTAAATATGGAATTCACTGAGCAGTTTCCAGGATTCAGGAAGTTTGTATTCACAACAACACACTTCTGGCTGACCTTTGATAACGTGACCATGTGATAGTCACTGACTGTGGAGGATATTGTTTGGTACACATTATTTTTTCATCATGGAGCCGTTTATCACAAGCTACAATCAAATACTGATATGCTATCTAGACATTAAGAGATATAGTGTATGTCTGTGTATTGTTTGATCAATATAACAATGCATATGTACAGTTTTTTTTATAAGACAACTTGTGTACATACGCATGTAACAAAGCCAGAAGAAATTATACAAAAGAAAAACATTTCCCAGTGACGTAACATCCTGCACCAGAGGCCTGTGAAAACACACTGTTCCACAAATCACTCGCTTTTATTCCTCATCTAAAAGCATATTAATGACTGAAGTACATTTTGCTGATGGTACATGTTTGCACTGTCTTTGGGGTTTTGAAAATATAGTGTTTGTCCTCATGGGGGCGACATTGCAACATTTTTAACTAGTACAGCTTCAAGACAATTAGAAGGCAATTAGCCTACTTAGACTTTACTTTTAGAGTCCTAATTTATTTGTTTTTAAATGTAACCTTAATGTCATCCCTTTAATATGATAATAGTACTCATTTGGTAAAAATATGTCAGTGTATGCATGTAGGCCACCAAAAGTCGTTATGCAGAAGGGCCCATTTCAGAATAATGCTGTATTATATTATGGAATTATACTCACTGATGCATTGTTATGTAGGGTAGTATAGGTCTATCTTTATCCATACACATGCATCCTCCTTTATATGTTAATTATATATTGTATTATTGATCTGGATCTGCTAAGTAGCTAATGTTATGAATTAAATTTAGACTAGTGGATTTAGAAGTACAATATTTCCCTCTGAAATGTAGTGAAGTAATTACAATGGTGCAGCTTAGTTCAAGCCAATTCAAATGTTTCCATAGCTCATAATTTTATCATCATGAAGTGTCTAATTGTGTTTTAATGTTTATAAAAAAAATCAGTTGGGATTTTTTTTCATGGAGAGATAGAGAGAGAAAATGCAACATCCTCTAGGAGAAGATAGTGTCAAAGCCATAGATGTATGTCAGTGCATGTCACAGCCAGGGGTGTAAATATGAACAGTGCAGGCAGTGTGGCTGCCTTGGGGTTCCTCAGGGTGGGGGAGAGAAGAACAGGCACTTACAAGTGATTCAGATTGCCACCTCAGACATACAATTGTGATCAAATAAGAACTCACAGTAAATTGATAGTGATGCTATTTATGTCTTATTGTCTTTTTCCTTATATTTTCTTTTTAGTAAAATAGTCTGTGGCAACAAAATTATATGCTTATTTTACATACGCTATAAAAGCTATAAATAAACTATAAAAAACATTCAATTTGAAAAATAATTTCTTATTTTCTGTGGTATTTTTTGTCATGTACATTTAATAGACTGTAAAAATAACAGACATGGCAACCGTGATTTCATCCACGGGTTTGTGGACTCCTGTTTTGAAGCCTTGAGGTCAGTATTTTTGGCTGTCACAATCTTGGTTTTTTGGAGCCAGAAGTTACCAATTTGGGTGTGAGGGTGGAGCTGTGGAGAAGTGTGCAGACGGCCTGTCACTCAGAGAGACCCCGCCTTTGATTATGCATCACTTTAAGACTTACTAAAATCCAAATAGGTGAGTTACATATAAAAATCATGTACTGTATAGTCGTCACAAACAGGGCAATTAGCTATAGAGACCAAAACTGTATTTTATACCAGGTTGTCAACATTGTCGATATTTCTGCTGTAAAGTTGGGCATCTTAACATGGCGGTCTATGGGGGTTGACTCACTCTTGGAGCCAGCCTCAAGTGGCCATTAGAGGAACTGCAGTTTTTGGCACTTCTCCATTGGCATAATTTTTCCAATTGGTACAGATATGTAAAGATGATTGCTGGGTAATATGTACTGTACGTTGCTCCTGTCCAATGTATAGTCGCTTTTGACAATGTAATGACATGACACAATAAAAAGTAGCTATTTTAGCGGCAAAATCTAGCACTAGGGCCCGTAAAAATAGCATGCACTGGGGCCCATCGTACCTTGCAAGAAATTTGACAAATTTTAGCAACAGTACAAGCTAAGACACTGTTTATTAGGAAGTACTCATTTGAAGACATTTGGACTTTATCATCATCTCATTTGAGAAGTAGCACTGACAATTTTTAGTTTTTTTATACTTATCAGGTCCTATTGATCCAAAATAGCTACAAGAAATGCAAACAAAACAAAAGTTCGGGTCTCAGGGGGATATAGTTCATCTCATCACAGATCACACTCTGCCCTTTTATTTTCTATTTATTTTATTTATATTTAATGAGTAAAGTTTTTCCTTTAAAATTTTTGTAATAATACATTGTTGTTAATTGTTTCTAAGTTTTCATTATCTTACATTGTAATTGTGCTTTGGCAACACATAAAAAACGTCACGCTGATAAAGTCTATTGGATTGAACTGAACTGAGAGAGAGAGATATATAGGGAGAGGTGCTCATTGCAGCGCGCGCACACACACTCGCGCACGCTCCCGCATCTCCCCAGTGGAGGCTCGAGCTCAGTTGGCTGATTCCTCACCAGTCTCACTCTTCTTTCCCTCTTTCAGAATATCGTGATCGCTTTTTGTTGGCTGCCTGCAGCCATTTTCACAGCCCACACCGTCTGCTGTCTCCTCCTCCTTCTTCTCTTTACTCCCCGCAGCTGATCTTTGTTTTCCATTCAGCCACACGGGTCCATCCATGTCTGGAGACTGTCTTTATTCCGGAGGAGGATAACAGCTTTACTGCGGATACATCTGCGGAATGTGGTGCTTGAGATAAATGACAGGATACATGGAGACAACAAAAGACTGCGGCTGTGACAAACTTGTGCGAGGTAAGGGACCGACATATATCCTTGTACATTAACTCAGGTGAAGGTTACACTCCAGCTCTGTGTTGCTCACCTGGGATCTTTCGTTAAGGAGACACACAGCTCACTGGGGATTCACCTGCTGCTGCTCACACCAGGAGTTTAATTAAAGTTTCTCCTATAAACAGAAAAGAAACAAGACACTTACACACACACGCACACACACACACACACACATTGACTCAGTCATCCACCTGCACCCCTGCGCTGCAATACTGCAAAATGCTCACACTCCGCACTCCAAAGTGGAGATGCTTCATGGTGGTTTCCTCCAGTGGTGGATCAAGTATTCAGATCTTTTATTTAAGTAAATGTAGTCTAGCGATGTAAAATACTCCACTACATGCCTGTGCAATATTTTATTTATTTCAGTTGTCCTCTGCAGCTGTGAATCATGGACATACAGTTATTATTGTATTTATTTTTATTTAATCTAATTTGTATTTTTGTAATATTTCTGTCCTTTTTTTCTTAGCTCTCAAGCACCTTTTTCTTTTTTGCATCTTGCATCTTGCGTCTCACTCTTGAGCTGCTGCATTGTGTGAATTTCCCCAGTGTTGGATTAATTAAGTTTTATTTATCTATCTATTACAAAACATGTCACTTAAGTGAGTGTATGTGAGTGTTATCAGCAAAATGAACATATAAATCAAAAGTTAAAGTACTCGTAAGAACCAAAATGGCTTATGTACAACAAACTAACAAACGGAAACATGTCGTCATACATCACTCTGCAGGGTCGCATAATCACAGAGTGAGTTCATAATTATGTTGGCTTATCTTCCATGTTGATATGAGTCCAT